CAACACTGTGTGGTGACCCGCGTTCAGCAGCTGTGTGTTTGTTTAGGATAGCCTGTGATCCACATTAGTAGCTGTGTGACCGGGTGTCAGGGAAGCCCACCAAACCTCACTACCGTTCAGAAAGAAATTGAAAAATCAAAAAAATCAAGAAGAATCTGACTCTCAATAAGAAATGCAAATGTGAAAAAGCATTAAGGGCCAGAACATCGCTGCTTTAAACATTAACATGAGGACAACATCAATTCTTTAAATAAACATCTTAAGAAACATTGTGTCTCTTTGGTTTTAATTTACTTTTCTCATTGATATTTTTTCCCTTGTTGATAAATGTGATAAATGGTCATAACTGAGGTCTGAGTTGAACATGTTCAGGGCTACTGTCTTCATATTCGTTAATAACTTTTTCATGGTGTGTGGACACCAGGGCAGACCTTTAATAATTTACATTACTTGTTTTTTTGCATTTCAAAATAATTGTTCAAAGGTGAATAGCGCCTTTTCCTTGCTGCCACTCAGCCATCTGACTTCACATTATTGCATAGCTCTTTTAGCTGTAAGAATAAGGAGACAAAACTCCATTAAGGAAGAGTTAATAAGACATAAGCTGGTCCACGACTCATTGGGGAACCAGGAGTATGTGTGTCTTCATAAACTCTGTTGTGTAACTCAAAGGCTGTGGGGAGGTGACAGGAAAGCTCTGAGGTCAACCTGAGGTCACGTCCTGAGAAACTAGTACGCACCCTGCTGTGCTGACAAACTTTTGTAGCACATGCAATAAAACATCCCAAATGAAGTTTGCAGGAGGTTGTTAGACTCCAACTTTGACCCTCACATTCCTCACAGCAGCAGAGAAGAGCAGGGAGGTAGATTGTTGCATCTTAAGTACCCTTAAGTATAAGACGGATCTTTATTCATACCAACGCACGAACAAGCTGTATACTCTCTTTAGAAGATGCAGATGAGAGTCATTAAGAACTGAAACAGCTCAAGAAAATGACCCACTACACTACACTAGCTAAAATCATAGTTAATAAAAAAGGACAGCATTAAGAGCATTTAACACCATTTTACAGCTCACCGTTTAAAAGCATTTATACAATTGCTTGAAACAATTGTTTGTATCTTAGATTAAAAGGATTCAGTTATAAAAGGAGTTGGCAGTGTTCTCTTCAGCACCATGTCTTTGTTCCAAACTATTCAACAATTGAGACTCCCCCGATTTAGCATTGCGCTCAAATAGCTACACCTAGCATCGATGCACAACTAGAGAAACAATCTTGTGATGTGAAACAATTTTTTGTTCCACATCTTCTTCTTTGTCAAGATTTGGCACCTACATTACCCACAATTCACCACAATTCACCACGAGTTCAGTTGGACTTTCAGGTGTGTTATGCTTGTAGCAGCTAACGTGGCCTCTATCGGCTAGTGTCAAGCTAAACTGAGGAGTGTGCTACAGAGGGCTGGTAAGTTCACTTACTTCGCATCCACAATTTGTTTAAATTGTAAATGTTGTAGTCTGCAGACCCAACTAACACGGACTCAGTTGACTTCACTTGAGGCAATGTATTAGATTTTGCATGCTGCCCTGTGGATCCACAAAGGGGGTTATAACTTACTTCACTTTATGCAGCAGTGCTACCCAAGACCTGTAAACATACTGTGTAATTTAGTTTAAAGGCATTCTGTGCAGCCAAACACTGTTCCAATAAGAACTTTGTTTTATATTGCATCAGCGATACAACATTTATAAAGGTATGATAAATGCCAGGCTGAATGTTGGGGGAAATTTAGATAATAATCTTCCTTTGAATAAACTGGGAAATGAAGAAATAAGTGGGGTATTGTTTTAAAAAATAATAATCATAGAGCTTTGAGTTGGACTCTACTGATAAATAATGTGTGTTACTTTCAGACAGTGTGGAACAAGATGAATACTCAAATACTTTTCGGGGTGTTTTTACATACTAAAACTGTTTTCTTGAATTAGGAATCAGTAGCGCCGCCAGGGGGGCACTAGGGGGTGCTGAAGCACCCCCCAGGATAGCCATAGCACCCCCTAAGCACCCCCAAGAAATGTAGGTGTCTTTTCTTTTTTTTATGTGAGAAATTAATTATTTGAAAATGGTTTGATTCGAAAATAATATGCTACAGTACAGTACAGTACAAGTAGCCTACTTCTGGGTCTCTGTGTTTCATTCAAGCTCTGCTCTGTGTGCGTGCGTGCGTGCGTGCGTGCGTGCGTGCGTGCGTGCGTGAGCGAGCGTGCACCGGTACCGGAGATCGTTGTGGTTAGCATCTGGTGCTAGCTACGCTAACGGATATAAGGAGCTTTTTCCACAACAAGGTGGAGGGAGAACTCTCTTCTCTGTCAGACTGACGGGCCGTCTCCACAGCAGCGTTAAAAAATCTTGAAACGCTTCTGCCCATTCACTTTGAATGGGGTGACGTCACTTTCCCTCACTTTTCGCCGAAATGCATTGTGGGCAGGCGAGCGGAGATTCTCAGGATTTTCAAGATTCAAAGTTGAACAATGTTCAACTTTTGAAGCTGAGGTGGAAGCGGCAGCCAATCAAATCCTGTGTACGCAAATCTGGCAGTTCAAGCTCTAGCCAATCAAACGGCGTGTATGCTGGGAGAGACATACCGCAGGTCATTTCCTCATATTCCAAAAAATGGAGGAGAAATTAGCGGTAGCGAATCAATCACCCGGTGCTTTATGACCAGACCTACCGGGATATAAACCGGAGGAGCCAGGCATGGAGGGAGGTGGCAGAGACAGTGGTATGTTTTCGCCTGTTTTGGGGAGTTTATATCCAGTTTACTTCGGGCTTTTTGGCTTCGTATGTCGCGGGCGGGAGATTCATGTGATTGGTTGATCGCAAAAAAATCCCCAAGCCTCAGATACGCCCACCTCCAAGATTTTTTTAACGCTGCCGTGGAGACGGTCCGTGAGAGTCTCAGATAACCTCAGCTCAGGTGAAGTAAAGGACTCTCTCAGTGTTTAGATAGTTAACTTTAGTCTAGTTATCTCAGTGGGTCTCAAAATGGTTTGGTCACGATTAATGTAAATAAGTATTTCTGAGGCACACGTTTATATGATCATTATAGGTATAAAAAAATAAGAGCATAAATGAAAAACAGGTATGAAATACTATGACAGTAAAACAACAATACACTTTAAAAGGGGAGTGATTTGTAAAATATGCATAAAGAAAAAGAAAATCTGTTTACAGTTCTGTTTCATGGGTGTTGAGAGATGTATCCATAGATCTCTTCATCTCTTCAAGTGCACCAGATTGATGTATTTAATTTCAATATTTAAAAAAAAATCTGTATGCGTGTGGGGAGTGTTGCAGTAGAAAATTCAACTGTAGCGCCCGGGACATTAAAGGTGGGGTAGGTAAGTTTGAGAAACCGGCTCGAGATACACTTTTTGTTATATTCCATGGAATGCTCTTAACATCCCGATAGCAATGAATATATTAAATGCTTTGACAAAAAATCTATAAAGAAATGTCATCTGTGGAAGCCGTAATACTGTAAAAAGTACGACCAATCATTTTAGTCGGCCCGGCTAAAATAACTGGATGGCCTACCTGCCTGTCAGCATTCCATCTGTGCACAAACTTATCTCGTGCCCTCATTGGTCATGTGCACGTTCGTGTGTGTTGGAGGAGGGGCTCTGTAAGGAAGTGGCAGATTTTCTCCGGTTGTGTATTTTCAAATTCTAGCGATCTCGAGCCGGTTTCTCAAACGTACCTACCCTACCTTTAATGGGAAACCCTAAATGTTTGAGCACCCTCTATGAAACGTCAAGCTACCCCACAGCACCCCCAAAAGAAAATATCTGGCGCCGCCACTGTTAGGAATCAATTAATTGACTGACTTCCCGCCGGACCCGCCCATACAAACATTACTTTACTGTTGATAACAGTGAAAAGATTATAAGAAAGATCTCAGGGATTGGTGGTTTCTTCAGCTTCAGAGTAAAGCGTTCAGGTCTCCAGCATGCTGCAACAAAACTAAGCTGCTGTGTTTGTTTCCACAGCAGAGGCTCTAGAGTGAGACTTCCCGGCTCCTTTGGGCAAGGCAGTGAGCCGGCAGGGACAGAGAGAGGGGAGGTGTTGAGAGATTATCAAAGTGATCGGGGCATAAAACCTCAGAATATTCATTGCGAGGAATGTAACATCTGCTAATCCCATCACAGATACACAAACACACACATGGACACACACACACACACACACACACACACACACACACACACACACACACACACACACACACACACACACACACACACACACACACACACACACACACACACACACACACACACACACACACACACACAAGCCTGGTTCAGAGAGACGTTGTTCTGTGTTACTTTGATCTCAATTCATTAGGACAAAATCATCGTTACTGTATAATGCAGCAAAATAAAAGAAATGCATATACATTATATATTTAAAATACAACTGTAAAGCAAATAAATGGTTGTTTACTAATAATTTAAAACATGAACTAAAGCAGTTTAGTTATGAAGAGTAAAATGATAATAAAAAGGTACAAACATAAATATGTTTTAGTTAAATGTTTTGTGTCCAGTTGTACTTACTTAACAACAGGCCAAATCTATCTAGCAACAACAGAAAAAGACAATCAAACCCCCTATTTTGTAAAAAAAAAAGAAGCATTTAAACTTAAAAAACAGCCAAATTGCCTTTTTGGTTTTGCGTAGTTTCCCAAAAAGCCCTGTCATTTAAACAGAAAATGTTGACGCATGTATTAAAGGTGGAGTTTAAAATATTGAGCAAACGTTTCCCTTAACTTGGCTGTTCCAAAATGGTGGTAAGCAAAGGAGTATTAGGGGAGAGGATGGGGATGTAAGCCAGAGAGGGGGGTGGGGTTGGGTATTAAAACCGAGTGCTGGCACAAGGTCTGCAGGAGGAGCACAGAGTCTGAAGGCAGAAGAGAGAGGAGAAGCTACCTGAACAGTCACCATCTGCAGCTCAGACTCACCATGCTGTGGTTTCTGCTGCTGAACTGTGCGCTCTGCATGGGAGGACACTCTGCAGCAGGACAGAGAGGTGAGAGAATATTTACATTTTCTATTGATTTCTATTTATGTTGCGCAGGTGGGAAACAATAAGGGATATTAAAGGTGTGCCATTGAGATTGATAAATTAAGGTTGCCATGGGCATTCAAAATCTACCACTCCAGGATAAAGAATTTGTGAAAACAGAAATATCAAGACCAAAAAAGTCTAAGATGGATGAGATAATAAATGTAAAACTTGAGTTAGGATTCTTTGGTTTGTTAGATTTTATTTTTCCATCAATATTTTCTATAATGTTTATTGGTATTCAACCTTTGGGTGATTCTGAAAAAAAATCTTGTTTTCTGTGCAAAGCCTTTCTAAGTACATGTCTGTACTTTCTCACAATGAGGAAAAATAATCACTGTGAGCTTTCTGTGGTAGAACAAAAAGAGTCCCATTTACCTTCCTATTAGCAGTGATTTATTTGCAGTATCTCATCTTTCTGCTGTGGAATCCATTCAGTAAACAGAGTTGCTGATAATGGGGAAACCACATTTCCTGCTCCTGGCGCTCAGGAGGTTTCTGCCCTCGCATCTTACGACTCCTCCGGGGGAGGGGATGGTGAGAGCGAGAGGGGGGGGGGGGGGGCGATGTGGTCAATTAGCAATATGTTGTGTAAGGATTTCACCCCACCTGAGCATCCCCCTGCTGTTTAACCATAAGCTTCATAAACATGTCTTTCAGAGAAACCATTTGTTGGCACTAGGGCTAAAAAAAGTTAGAGGCCCGATCAATATGTTGTATTGTATTGTTGATCATGTGAAAGGGGTCACAGATAAAACCACAGGGATAAAACACGTGGTTCTTCCCTGCCACTCACATTTGACTTTTACTTATTTAAAAACAAAATTGAGACCGTTTAATGTGTTTTCGCCAGTTACGTCAGTACATACCGAGATTGCTTCATAGTGGATAAAGTAACACAATTTAGAAACTGAAATAAAATGACAGACATTAAATATGGTTATGGTTAAAAGGGAGTGACCCTACTAAATTTCCCTCCATTTTCTAAGACTCTTGTGTCTGTTGATTGTAAAACTTCTGGGACAAACCCAATAAATATTTATCTGCAGCATTGTTGGATGGTTGATATGATTTTTTTGAAAATCCAGATCAACACTCACACTGTAACACTGAAGAAACAGAAGCACAAGGACGCTATGCGCACACAGTTTAGTTCTTGTTGGCACACAAGCTCGAAAAGTGTATCCTCCAGAAAATCTTGTATCATTCCATATCTGGAAAATCAATTTCACTATCAAAACATCTCTGACTCCAGCGAATGCGTGGGCGTTGGATAAAAAGGAGGCCTGGTGGCTGAGGAGCGTCAGGTATTGGACAGGCACTGGATCATGTAGTACAGGAGGATGTGTGTGTTTCCCCCCCCCACACTTTCATATTTGCTCCTAATTGAGCTTCTGATGCCAGATGTTGAGCCAACAGGAGTTTGAAAAACCTACATACTCTTATTTTTGTGAAACTTGGTTATGTTGGTATTGTGGGTTGTCAAGAATGTGATGATTATGTGTTTTGTCTTTTATGTGGACCAGAATTTTCTGCGGTAATAACTAATGGGGGTCCTGAATTAAGTATGAAGTATAAACAGGGAGATTCAAGAGGTGTATGTGACATGCCACACACACACACACACACACACACACACACACATACGCCAGTCACACACACAATCAGTCCTCTGTCTTATACTGGCTGTTATTTGAGGCCTTGTTTTCAAAGTTGTATTTCTTTGTCATTTAGACCACATTATCTAAACAAAAAACAAGATGTGACATAATGTATTGAGGGTTTTTCACTTATTAAAAATGACAGTCCAAAGCCCACAGGGAAAGGTCACATTTGTTTTAACTGTGTTACATTGTGTACGTGTGATGTTGGCAGGGTTTATCAGTTTGTCATTATTGTCGTGGTTGTGAAATATAATTTGTTATGATGATTTCTTTTTTTTCAGATGGGGAAATTATCAGTCAGATAAAAATGACAAACTTCGCACTGGATGAGATTAAAGAGCTTTTGAAACAACAGGTGAAATAGTTTTAAAGGTCACCTATTATGCAAAATCCACTTTTTCATGTCTTTTATACATAAGCATGTGTCCCCTCTGTGTAAAGAGATTCTGAAAGTTTCAGGAAAAAAGATTCGCTCACTTTTTGTCCTGATCCATTTATATAAAAACCTGTCTGAAAATGAGCTGATCAGATTTTGGCCACTTCATGATGTCATAACGATTTTATTGGCTTGTGTAACCATTAGCCAATCACCAACCAAGGTAACCCCCCCCCCCCCCCCTTATCACCTGAATCTCCTCCTAGAGCACCATAGTGTTCTTTTTAACCAAATATCTCTCAGAGGGGCGTGGGGAGGGGCTCCTTATTTTCATCTAAAGTAACAGACACAGAATCAGCACTTTTGAAACAGGGAATTATGGGATGCTACAATGCATGATCTGTTTGGTATTTCGAGCCAAACACTTCAGAGACATGTTTTGTATATATCTGATTGCTATAATATATTGATGAAAAACAGTATAATAGGGGAGCTTTAACATTGAAACCACAAACATTGAGTCAATATGTGTCTGTAATGCTAAGGCTTTTGTGTAACTGAATGTGAGCAGAGATGCTTTAATATTGTGTTCACAGATTAATATCAGATGCATTTGAATATAAAAATTGGATCAGGAATTCAAATTCTTAAAAAATGCTAGAAATGTATTTGGAATAATCTCAATTTCAAAATGATATTGTTTTTCTATAGTAGGTTATTTTAGTAACATTTTCTTTGTTTTCAAATGTTGGATAGGGATCGAGGCATCATACAAACATTTGATTGATTTTTATTTTTCAGATAAAAGAGATTGTTTTCCTGAAGAACACAGTGATGGAGTGTGAAGCCTGTGGTGAGTTGACCAAATACATAAAACTCTGTTTCTGTATTTCACTTTTCATTAATTTCAAAGAACTGAAAGCTCGCTCAGTACTTTCTATGCTGATGATGACTTCTAATTTTTGAACTTCTCAGCAAGGTTATACAAATTTGCAGAACTCTTGTACTATAGTGAGCATACTGCCTCTCTCCTCAGGGATGGGAGGAATGCAGCCTCGTCCCTCCTGCGTGCCGAACCCCTGCCACCCAGGGGTGAAGTGCAAGGACACACCTCAGGGTGTGAAGTGCGGACCCTGTCCTGACGGCATGGAGGGCAACGGTACCCACTGCACTGATGTCGACGAGGTACGCACAGATATTATATATAATATATAATAGAGTACAGCGCTATGATGGCTAAATAATTGTTTTTTAGGTTTACAGGATTCATAACCTCCAAGTCATATGCTAATACTAATACTAATTGTGAAGTTTGACAGTGTGATTATTTGCGTCTTCTTGCAGTAGTCTGGTTTTCTAAAGCAGTTTTTACCCAATATAACTATTTTTGCCGTGAGTTAGTTGAAATGAACAGAGATAAATAAAAAGCATTCATATATATATATTTCTAAAAAGCATGACATTACTTTTTTGTCTAGTTGATTATCTTCAAGAGAACACGCAAACCACTTGTTTTGGTGTTTTGGTCAACCAGCTAAATTAGTTTTCATAAACCTGCTTGAGTTTAAACATGTTTAATCAAAGAAATTAAATCATACATAATAAATTAACAAAAAAATCAGGAAGTTACAGAAAAGAATTATTTATAATCTGACAATTGATGACCTCTTTTTGTTTGTCATAAGGGATATTGTATCTATGTACACATTCCAGACTGCAAGTACAGAATTTGTTAACTAAATGTAGTTAATGTTGTTTTTTATGTGTCTTTGTTGCTGCAGTGTACAGTTATTCCGTGTCACATGGGTGTGCGCTGCATAAACACCTCCCCAGGTTTCCGCTGCGGCTCCTGTCCTGCTGGGTACACCGGCCCCCAGGTCCAGGGCGTCGGACTCGCCTACGCCACCGCCAACAAACAGGTCCGCAGCGGTGAACACACAAACACTCACTGTTCAGCTCCTCTAATCTGTGCTCTCTGTAACTCTTCTACTGCCTACTATTACAACAAGGGCGGGAGGGAGGCCTTAAGGGGATCTTATCAGTTGGATACTTTTAAAACAAACCAAACTTACTCGATTAATTGATCTGTTCCAAGTGCAGTTTAATTTACAAATACTGAGGCAATCGTACAATATATTTAATAGTTTCTGATTAAAGCTGAGGGATCAGAAACTCTCCTCTCTGCACGTCAACATTTTTGTCTTTGCCTCCCACTAGCTCCAGTCTAAACTCATCATCAGCACCTCTTCTCTCTCTTCTGTACATACAGTATGTCACACAGTGTGCCCTGGTCTGCTTCAGCAGCACATTAATCCTCCACACAGGACTGTTTTCAATCCGCTGCACCTCATTTTTGATCTTTTTCTCGTCTTGATATGAAAGCCCATGGAAGATATTTGATCCTTTTTTGTCTGTTTGTCCTCTCAAGGTCTGCAAAGATATCAATGAGTGTGAAGGCATCAACAATGGAGGCTGTGTGGAGAACTCTGTCTGTATGAACACGCCTGTGAGTATAATCACTATATAAACTTACAACACTGAGTCAATCTTTGAAGTAAACCCACAACTACAACCAATAAGATAGATGACTTCAGCGCACTTTTGCATTATACCACAAACCATGTTTCTAAAGAGCCACTTCATGCATTCAGTGCATGCATTCAGAAAATCTCACTGAATATTGAGAAGAAAGGAAGATGTAGAGATACAAAAAACTAAAATCCCAACTTTTTTAACTTTAAACAGAAGGAGTATCATGAACATTTGATATTTGGTCAAATATATAGATAGGGTGAAAGCTATTGATGTATTAAGAGAAAGCATTGGTAGCATCTAAATCTAAAAGGTGGGAGGCTTTATTTGGGTTAACGTTCAGGTATTTACAATCCTGATTGAATGACTGCACTTTTAAAGCCTCTGCACAGAACACAGCAATCCTGCAAGGTTCATTGCATGTCACAATGACATACTTTAATGGGTAAAATACACTGTGTTATTCATTCTGAGGCAAACAATGCGAGCAGAGACATCCATCTATGTCACACTCACGTGTTGAAAATGTTTTTTCCTAGTTTTTTTACTGAGAGATTTTCCACTGTGTTTTGTGGCACTTCAATATCAGTAAGTAATATGTCAGTATAATTTACGTAAAACCCAAGATAGTGCATTTTTCTCCCTTCAGTTGCTCAGCGCACCCATGGAGATTCCTTTACAACAACAATACTACCATACAAACCTAGCCTGACGATTGTCCCTTGTCAGTGATATAACAGGACATTTCCCTGTGTGTGTTCAGGGGTCCTACAGGTGCGGCCCCTGCAAGACGGGCTATATTGGAGATCAGCGGCGCGGCTGTAAGCCAGAGAGAGCCTGTGGAAACGGCCAGCCCAACCCCTGCCACGCCAGCGCCGAGTGCATCGTCCATCGAGAGGGTCGCATCGAGTGTCAGGTGAAAAATCAAACATTCTACTTCTTGTTCAGACTCTTTTCTAAGTGCAAAAAATGAGCAATTTCACTGTGCAGCATCCCTAAGAAGGAGTGAGGGATTTATATATTTTAGGATTGAGTGTGACCTTCGTTATTAATTAACTAGTTTATCCTTGCTGAATAAATCGCTCAACAGGGACTAATGACAGTTGGAGTTGATGTGGGAAGTTGAGATTATGTTGCAGCCCAACATTGCTTTAAAATTAGAGCATTCAATCTTTAACTCTCTTATGGCTGCAATTATTTGTAGGTTCCAGATGAGACAGTCTGGAAGAGCTTCAAAGTTATTTACTACGTTTGTAAGAAGCTGTTAAACATGTAAAGGCCCAACTCTCTGAATCATATAACTTTTGTGCCAGATTTTGTGAATGTAAAGGTCTGTTTGAGCGCTTAAGGTAATCTGGTGCTGTTCGCAGTACGCAGCAGGGCCAATAAAAACAGACTGTACAGTACATAAAACATTATCTCTACTCACAGTGTGGAGTCGGGTGGGCTGGAAACGGCTACCACTGCGGCCCTGACATTGACATCGATGGTATCCCTGATGAGAAATTGGCCTGTCCTGAGAAGACCTGCAACAAGGTGAGTCTCCTGAGAGCCTCCATGAGAAATCTTTAAAAAAAAGAGTGACACAAAAACAGCACAAATGATCACAATTTAGTCATCTGCAAAGAATACAATACTGATGGGAATTATGTATTATTGGAATACCCCAAAAATAACTCACAAGTAAACCTCTTTGAGCTTTAGTGGTTCTTAAATTGTCCTCAAAGCATTTCATAAATCTGATTTTAGTTGACTTTAATAATGACTTTTTTGTCTTTTAGGATAATTGTCTCACTGTTCCCAACTCTGGTCAAGAAGATGCCGATGGTGACGGCATGGGAGACGCCTGTGATGAAGACGCAGATGGGGACGGGATCTTCAACATGCAGGTTCATGAACAGAAGTGACAGAGATGGTATAAAACATGATTTAAACACATAAGCCTGTGTTCATCTTTGTTTATGTGTGTGTTTGCAGGATAACTGTGTGTTGGTGCCTAATGTTGACCAGAGGAACGCCGATGAAGATGACTTTGGCGATGCATGCGACAACTGCCGCGCAGTGAAAAACAACGACCAAAGAGACACGGATGTGGACAAATATGGTGACGAGTGTGATGAAGACATCGATGGGGATGGTCAGTATTTCCCATATTAGTTACAAACACATCTGTTGATACATTAAAAACACATGTCGTATATATATAATTGTAAACACTAACATTAGTGAGGACTGTAACGTGACACATATAGTGAATACAGCTCAATAAATGCTATATACCAAAATTGAGAGAAAGACAGTACTAGTGGTTACATGAATATTCACTGGTTCCAACATTGATTTCAAGGAATCCTTAATCACCTGGATAACTGCAAAAAAGTTCCCAACGCTGACCAGAAGGATCGTGATGGAGACAAAGTGGGAGACGCCTGCGACAGCTGTCCTTATATCCCAAACCCAGACCAGGTCAGAAATCTCTCTCCGGTGTTGTAAGAAGTGTCGACTGTGTTTGAGTCCAGAGCCTGAGAACAAACAGTTACTGTATAACTCAACAGACAGAACAAAGTAACATGCATGTCACACAATTCAGATACGCTAAATTAAAAGGAATGCTTTGGTTTCAACTTCAGGAAAATTGTGAGAAAATATCAATTATAGCCAATATAAACCTTAATGTAGAATAATCCAAATCTAAAACATTTTAATAAAATGTATGACTTACAATGTAACAGTCAATTTAACTAATCTGCTTCATCTGGACAGTGTGGGTGTTTTAACTACATTTAAATAGCAAAAGAAGTTTGTGTTTTTCAATAGTTCATTGCACGGTAATTTATGTATTCAGTCATTGTGATAAATAGAAATGTCATTTCTTAGAACACTTGCCAATGATTGCAAAAAAAGCCTAAAAACAACTTAACAGCAGACTAGTCTTGACCTGACTGTTCTCTCTCATACTCACCATTATTATTTTCATATTTCTCAGATGGATGCTGACAACGACTTGATTGGAGATCCCTGTGACACCAACAAAGACAGGTACCTTGTGACCTCATCAATCCCACTATATATTTAATTTAAATGATTTATGTAACAAGAGTACTGGAGACCAAAAGCTGGATTTGTCAGTAAAAGTCTCTCTTGTCCAGTGACGGTGACGGGCACCAGGACTCGAGGGACAACTGTCCGGCCGTCATCAACAGCTCCCAGCTGGACACGGACAAGGACGGCCAGGGGGACGAGTGTGACGATGACGACGATAACGACGGCATCCCTGACCTGCTGCCCCCCGGTCCGGATAACTGCCGTCTGATCCCCAACCCGCTGCAGGAGGACTCGAACGGTGGGTAACACGCCTGACTAAATCTAGTAAATAAACAATAACGAAAAGGGTTTAAGACGTTCTTTCTATCTTCTCAGGTGATGGCGTTGGCAACATTTGCGAGGCGGATTTCGACAATGACACCATCATCGACACTATCGACGTTTGTCCAGAAAACGCTGAGGTCACCGACACTGACTTCAGGGAGTACCAGACCGTCGTTTTGGATCCGGAGGGCGACGCACAGATCGACCCCAACTGGGTGGTGCTGAACCAGGTCAAGTAACTAGCTTGTTTAGGTTTTATTTATGTGCTTTTAGATCCCAAAATCCTTAATATCTTCTTGGTGCGATACAATTTATCTCAAAGATTTGTTTTTGTTTGTGCAGGGAAGAGAGATAGTCCAGACTATGAACAGTGATCCTGGTTTGGCAGTGGGTAAGAGCAACATAGAGCAATCCAAAACTACCTGGATCAAAGCTCTCTTTAATTGTATTGACAATGTTTTCAACCAACTGCAGGCAAAAAAGTGAAAAAATATCTGACAATGTTTCCTCCAGGTTACACGGCTTTCAGCGGTGTGGACTTTGAAGGGACCTTTCATGTAAATACGGTGACGGACGATGACTATGCAGGATTTATCTTCGGCTACCAGGACAGCTCCAGTTTCTACGTGGTGATGTGGAAGCAGGTGGAACAGATCTACTGGCAGGCGAACCCGTTCAGAGCCGTGGCAGAACCTGGCATCCAGCTGAAGGTAGTCCCCTGCCAGCAAGAAATTAATCATCATAGTTATAAGATAAACAAGTACCACTTTCTGATAAGGCTCCATTTATAAAGGTTTATTAAGCTGGCAATGATGGCTTTAATAATGCCAAATAAATTATTTATTACTGATCAAATTATGGATCAGTTCTAAGGCTTTTTTAAGAACAACCTTTGTGTTGCCCCGTTGTGGAGAATCCTAATTAGGACCACTTTGCAAAAGTTAGTCATCTGAAGTCATACATGTGAATACATCACAAGTAAAGGGTTCTTAGAATCCATTAAATCCCATCAAGTCTGCAGTTGTAATTTGTAATACATGTATAAATGTTTATAAAGGAAATTTGGTCCAGAAGTTAAGTGTTTGAAAGTCCAGAGCCAAATCAAAAAAGCATGCTCGGCAAGTTTTTCCCTCGAACTCAAAAAGTTGTTCTTATTTTTGGCTTACAGATGGTCTAAAAGCATTAGTTCATTATTAACTAAACATTAACAAACCCATTAATTACAGTTATAGTTTTATAAATGCTGTCTTCGTGTGTCTTAGTGGAACTGAATACCAGTATTTGCACTAGATGAAGAAGTAATGCCTTGGTTCGGGCTAAACTCAGTGACCAGCTGTTAACTACTTAGTGCAACTGTGTTTAAATGTTACACTAATCAGTTCTTTCTAAAGCATTAAAGTAGTTTTAGCACAAAGAGTTCCCATTACATGCTCACTGGACATGACAGATTACTCCAGAGACTCAGGCTGCTTGTCTTCTGTGGTTTTGAAAAGGCCGTTAAGTCGAACACGGGTCCAGGGGAGAACCTGAGGAACGCCCTGTGGCACACCGGAGACACCAGCGATCAGGTCAAACTCCTCTGGAAAGACGCTCGCAATGTCGGCTGGAAGGACAAGACTTCTTACCGCTGGTTCCTCCAGCACCGACCCGCAGACGGCTACATCAGGTACCGAAAAACAGTACAGGAAAAAAAACTTCTTTACTAAATTGTATCAGTCTGTGCATTCAGTCTGGTGATTCACATTTAGTCTATAGACTTCAAGTCCAAATAGTCTTGTTTTTTAATGAATACAAATCTATTTGTTGCTAACTTACATTCTCCCTGTCGCAGAGTACGTTTCTACGAGGGTCCTAAGATGGTGGCGGACACAGGTGTCATCATAGACGCCACGATGAGAGGAGGTCGACTGGGAGTCTTCTGCTTCTCCCAGGAGAATATCATCTGGGCCAACCTGCGTTATCGCTGTAATGGTGAGATACCTTTTCCATTATTGTTAATCCAAGTATGCAGCTAGGACAAAAATGTATGCCTGAGCATTAGACTCACCTGTTTAACAGAAAATAAAGGGCTTGTGGAAATAGGCAAATATAAATGCCAAATAAAGATATGAATGCAGTCGTAAATGCCAAAGTAACTCTTCTGATGCCTGTTGAGTATTTACCCTTAAGGTGCTCAGACTGTAAACCAAACAGTGATTTCACCTAATGCTGTTTTCTGTGCAGACACTCTCCCTGAGGACTTCGACACTTACCGAGCCCAGCAGGTCCGGCTGGCGGTCTGAAGACACTGAGCGAGCCCAGGGAATTCTGGGAAACACTTTCCAAAGCACAGCTGGGATCAGAAATAAAACCATCACTTGTATACAAAGGCTTGTAAGAAGTCAACCAAATATGTTTTAAAATAAAGACTGATATATAAACTCCTGACAACAGAGGACACGCCTCATCAGGGAAAAATCTTCGGAGCAGCATCAGGAAGACAAATTGTTTTTAATTGTTTAGCAAACGGAAATATCTGTCATAAATAATTTTGTGACTAAATATTGTCCTATATTGTATATTCAAATTTCAATTTATACTTTGAAAGAACTATTGAAAATATTTAACTGTCACTGATGAATAAATGTGGATTTTGGTAAATAATGTGCATTATACATTTTATGCATTATATTTGAATATTAACCAGCAATTATGAAATATCTAATGAGGAAGGTAGTCTTAAAAGTGTCAACATGTCAGAGAAGTGCGGAGAAAATGTTTTCAAAAATAGTCAATTGTTATTTAAATTACCATGATATATGTATATATTTTGTGTCATGTAAAGCAGCTTTAAATATCTAGAAATAACATGTTAATGGCTTTACTGCAGAAGAAGTCAAACATTTTTGTTTTAAGTAACAGACAGCTTTTAGTGGAAATCAACATTCTGAACATTTCACAAGCATGCACATATCCAAAATAATCTTTTAAATTTTGCATTTGGAAATACAGATTACAAAATAGAAACAATAGCAAAGACAATATACAACAGGATCGAACACCATGCACGTCCACAGCAAACACGCTGTGACGTTGTAAAATGACATCGGGCCGCTTTTTTAAATCAGCATTTTCTGAAAATCAAGACTATGTGCAGAGAAACATCTGTCTTCCACATTCAATTTAATTGACATTTTCTTTCATCTTATAAACAAATGGTCACATAAGGAGAATCACATGGCAACGAAGAAATTACTACAGATCTTTTACTACGACTCACAGGACAACAGTGGTTTATGCTATTATCACTAGAAGCTTTAAGTGGAACTTAAACTATGTTTTTCCAGGGACAGTTGTAGTCATTTAGAAAACCCTGTGTTATTAAAGGGACATTTTATTCAGACCTAAAACACCCTGGGAACAAGCAGTAAAGACGGAGCAGCAACTCTTTCTTTTTCACGTGGGATCAATGATACACCTTTTAACACAGGACTCCTGTTTAAGACTGCTCTGCTTCTTCAGTTTGGGACAAGATATCAGCTTCACTGCTTTTCAACACAACATACACTGCGCTAACAAGTAACTCAAGAAGTCAGTGGAGGCTCAGACCATAACAAGCAGATGAGTAAACACTGCATAACTTGGAAAATATAAATTCATTTTGAGGTGATTTGTTCATCTCGAGACGGAAACGGAATTTCGTTCAGTAGCCATAAAAGTGTTTCAGTGTTTAGCTTCAGATGCCTTTTTTTGTGAAATGACCTCAATGTCTCAAAATGCTAATTCATGCTCGACACGTGAGAATGTTTCACCACCAAGAAAGGATCACGCAAAGACATTCAAGTCTGCCGAACAAAGTTTACTGTCTTTTTTATTTCTTGAATTTAATTGAATTAGCTGCCTAGCTTGAGATACATTATTTGTGTAAGTTTGGCTCTTAGCTGACTCTATAGACAACAAACCAAAGACAATTAAAAAAGGAATCTAATTCTTTTTTACACTATATGTTATTTTCTATCTGTGATGAGCTACAACAGAAGTGCAGACCAGTTGGAGTCCATCAACTTTTTAGTGGTAGGCCTACAACATTTTCTACCTCCAAATATTTTGCAGGTAGATGTTTTTCTGCAGCATTTTACATTAAATAAAGGATGGTGTACTGGAGCAGAGTTGTTTTGAAACATTTTCCTTTTGATTAAATCTCATTGTTCTCATGTGACCTGAACCCTAGAGTTACAGTGTGCTCTAGTGTTGTGTAGTCAAGATGCAGAGACTGCTTCACATGAGTATATTTCAGGTTGCCACTATCATCTATTTCACTGTAAGAACCATGACTCGCTCAATGTGGGGGGGGGGGGGAAATGACCAACAAAGAAATACATTCGGAGTGCCGTTCTGTTCCAACACGAGAGCGCAAGCTGCACTGGAGTAAGCCCTTTCTAGTTTTGCATCCCCTAAAATCTTCACAGATAAAAAAAAAACAAGACAAGCCAAAAAATATTTTACAAAGGAAAATAGAGTATTCATCTTTTTCTTTGACATGAAAATACCTCCGGAGTTTACACCCGGAGTGAAACAGTCAGCATTCACATCGGGCAGAACAGTCCCTGCTCAAGAGCCAGGAAGTTACAAATAAAGTGCGAAGCATTGACTAAACATTGCACAAAAACAAACAAATAAAACACTTCACACAGTCCCACAGCTGACATGATAGGCAACAACAATAACTCAGCATAGCCAGATGTAACTCCTGTACATAACTTGGGAGAAGAATCAGCTCCATGTGTCTATCATGTCAGTCGACTGCGTAATGCACAAGCTTCAGAAGATTCAAGTCCACGTATGCAAACAATCAGTGCACGTGCCAATCTGCAAAACACAACCCGATTCCATTGTTTTAAGAAAGCCAAAGGGTTGTGCTGAAGAAGAGGAGAGGGCCTGCGGGTTTTTTTTAAACACTCGTACGTTGTGAGATGCTACAGTGAGAAGAGAGACTGAGTGATTCCTCAGAGAAGAAGGCGACTGAAGAGCAGAGAAACAAAATTAAAATAAAAACTCCAAGCAGAATTTGGCAAACAGGCTCAAACTAGGACGCTGCCACAGGAAATACATTCTCTTATCATTCTTGAAGTAGCGTTATACAGAGATGGAGGTAACAGAGCCACAGGAGAAACCCATACATGCATTGCTTTAGACTTTGTGATAGCGTTATGTTACACAAATCAAACCTGCGGAGCTATAGAAGGCCTTCGTTAAGAGGTTTTGACTGTCAGTTTAGACATGCATTTTGTTTCAGCTATAGCATATGTACAAGGTCAGTGTGGATGACTAGTATTCAGCAGGATGACAGGAAGGAAGTGACGGGGGGGCTCAAATCACTGTTGCATTACTGTTAATTGTTGCATTAATAGCAATGCAACACTGGAGTTTGGGCTCGAACACATATTTTGTTTTAGGGATAACACATTTGGAAACATGTAATATGTAGAGAATGAGTTGTATACATTTGTTTTAGTGGCTTAAAGGAAAAATCCAACAGATTATGGGAAAGTGTTGTGAATTTCTGGGCCTTTTTCTTCCTCTGATGTGACAGGCCTGGTAACAAATGTCCGGATATTTTCAGGAAATAAAGTGAAATGTTTGATTAATTCTAAACATTGTAAGTAAGGTCCAGCATCAGTTCAGTGTAGGATTAAAGAGAAAGGGTTTCTTTCTTCTGCAGCAACTTTGCACTGATGTTTAACAGTCACACAGGAAGAGATGCAGGTGGAGGGATACATATGGAGGGAGATAGGTTTGAAACAAAACGTTTAAAGTAAAGCTGGATTTAGGTTTCTTGTTACTCTGGTGTAGGAATACATTTGTAGTTCAGTGTACGATTTCACTCGTTGATTGTCATAGCACTACTGTAACACTCATTTTTCTTTCATTTGAACCCAAAGCCCCGATGTTGAGCTAAACCTTCAGTTACCAATGTGTCCACTGACTGAAAAGAAGACAACTAGAATGGCCATTTGTTGTTTTGCATTCATATTCAATTCAATTCTATAAATACAAATGATACATAGGGGCTCTGTAACATAGAGAAAGTGGATGAACTGTAAAGGGCCTTGCTAGAAAACTAAATAAATGTGTCCAGTATTATTGAAAAGGAGAATATTAAGCCTTTTCTTCAAATCGCTCAAAGCTGTCCTCCAATCTACCATCTCTGCCAACATCAGTCACATTTAGGAGAAAACAGCCGGATACGAACACAACAGATCTTTCTTTATCTCAGTATATTTGCGGTGTAATTTTCATTTTTTTGCCTGCTTTCCCACACCATTTCAGAACAATAAATCCAGCTCAAGTCCAGAAATAAACAATAAAACATTACAGATGGATTTTTCCTTTAAGGGTTGTTTTTGTTGGTGTCTCATTTGCATAGGAATCACAAATCTGAAGAAGGCAAACAAAACATTGGATGCAGGGAAACAGCAGGCGATTAACACTTCGACTGAATTAATTGAACATCAGTAGATAGAGGTGTGCAGTAAACCAAACGTGATTCCTTTTGGGGAGGGGGGAGGGGGTTGGAAAACCTTCCCACAGCGCTTTAGGCGAGTCAATGATTAGCACGTCTGTACATGAACATTACAATATACCAAACATGATCCCACACACTGACACACACCTCCCAGGGAAACTCTGACCAAAGGCCAAGGCAGATTAGAATTTGACACAATTTGTTCAACACATTTTGGCAAAGTCATGGATGTAGTCAGAGATGATATCAATATGTACATGTTCAGATGACACTTGACATGAAATGTGTAAACATTTTTCCGGTAAACAGTTTTAGACTCGACTACATCCCTGGTTGTTTTTGCCGTTTCTAACACTGAATGGAGCTGGGCCGATGTCGGTGCTTTCTGAAATGTTGCATACAATACTGAATATATAAATACACTCATATTCTTTCTTAAACAGGCCCGGTATGTACTTCATCCAGTTTACAACATGGGAGTAATCACAGACGCTCTACAATGAAAATATCCTCATATTTATAAATTAAAATGTGCATCATACGAAAACAACCATTCAGAAAGGGGTGTCAAACTCATTTCATCGCGGGCCACATTAGCATTATGGTTGCACTCAGAGGGCCGGTTGTAACTTTAAGACTATATATAAATGTAATATATATTATATATGTAATGTATTATATTACATTATTGCCTCTACATTGGATTATTATCACATAATAATAATAATACCTTCATAACTAACTACGTCTGAAAGCAGAAGTCAAGGGCAAATCATTGAAAGTCTCTTCAGTGTGCATGTCCCAAATTGAGATGCATTGTGGGACATGTAGTTTATGGACAACGTGCTTCTGTAAAGCGGCATGTAACCGTATAATAAACGTATTATATTCTTTGCAAATTAAGACGCGGGCCGGATTTGTCCCGTGGGCCTTGAGTTTGACACCCCTGATTTAGAGCAGTTGATACTGTTAAATATCCAACAATGGACAAATAAATCCTAAACTCTGCATGGTACTGTTGTTATTGACGACCTCTATGGCAAAGGTCGTTAGCGTTTTTGTTAGAGCTTCCCTGTCAAGGAGCAAAAAGCCTCCCCATAATTGCGCTCCTTCTCAAACACTTTAAACCCATCCTTTGATTACTTTAGTGTTTTCGCCCCACTTTAAAAAAACATCAACAATTTGGCTATAAACTGTACCGATACAAAATACAGTACATTGATTTGTCAAACCTTACACAACATAATCACAAATATCACTGACCAAAAGTTGAGTTCCTCTCAAATACAAGAAAATGTTACAATAAGTTACGAAAATACGTTGTCACATCAGACACTTAAGTAGAACAGTAGAATACTCATGTAAGGCAAAATCAGGTGATTTCACAGTGACGACTTAAAAAGATTTAAGATTTTAGTGTTTAAAAACAGACGGCTTTCTTCACTGAGAAGACGCTCAGTCTGGATATATATATGTATTGGCTTTTCACTGGCAGAAAATTAATTTGGACGTGTTTTCTTGCTTTCTAGTTAAATAGAAATACCTGATGATTTTCTCAGAAAAAGTTAATTCAAGTGGCGTTAAACCAACCCTTTTCTGGAGCACGCAGCATTTTGTGGAGCTGTGCTAAAACTATGATATTCAGATTGGACCGTTGGGCTGCAGCATGGCAACGTCTACAAGTCCTACATCAGAGAATGGCACATCGAACACCAAAGAGCAACTATGGGGAGGTTTTGCACTCCTTCATTAACCAAGTAGCTTAACAAACACATATACAAATATGTTAGTAATTAATAAATAGACACAAAGTACATCAGTGCAATTTTACACTATGCGTACAGAGAGCATTTTGGCATCAAATTTAAATATGAAATGGAATATAAAATCTTTAACTAAATAAATAAATAACACATGAAAATACATAAAGCATAAAAAAATACAGTACATGATGAAAAAAACATTTGGTTGTCAAAAATAAAGCTTTGAGTGTGAAATAGAAAGCCGTCGCGGCACGATGGGACAAGCGAACCGGCTGTGGTTTGTTTTGCTTCTTCTTTTGTTTTTTTAATACAGCCGCTACAACAGGTAGGGTTGAGCCCAACGTCCGAGCAGCTTCCTGCTACGAGCAAATATCACAAAACAAAAGTGGATATGAAAAGAAAAAAAAGTCAAATGTGCGATTTTTGGAATATATGTGGCATGTAATGGTACACTGTAAACACAGCAGGCTAGCGAAAGCGCTGAGCAACGAATCTCATTCAAAACGACAGCGAGGCCATTCCCCGGCAAGCCACTGGATGTCTTTTTCCCTGTTGTCTTTTGGTGGCGCATCGTTTCAAAGGGAGTCGAGGGCGAGGTCGGACAGCTGGACGGCCATGCAACGAGGGAGAGGGTTCATCCGGCCCTTTGGTTCTCTCATTCACAAGTTAGTGTGTTTTTTTTCTTCTCCTTGTTCTCGACCAGCTTCTCACGTTACAGCCTGTCCATCCTGAACGTGTCCTCGGTGGCGGGGTCGGTGAGCACCATGTCGGGGTCGTTGAGCATGTGCAGTCCGTCCAGGGTGAGCGGGTCGATCTTCAGCTCGTCCAATGGGAACTGAGAGTCTGCGTCGAAGCTGACGTCCCCGACGCCCGCCAGAGAGTTGGTCAGCTCTTTGGAGAGGCTGGGCGGAGACTCGCCTGTGACTGAGACACGTGACGTCAGAGGAACAAGTGGGAACTGACATCCCAAACAAACAGGCAGGCACCCTTTAAACTCACTAAAGTTTGACAGTGAGGAACACAGGCAGGCGAGTCCACCAAAATCAATTAATAAACTACCTGGCAACTAAAATAACAAAATAAGTTGTTTAAACTTGCATTCAAATATAAATACATTTTGTATTTAAAGTGCAACTACTGCAACACAGTATCATTTAGCATTAGGTCAGTGAACCTGTAGTTGCTAGGCTAATTTGATCCTGGGGAAGCAAGTCAAACGTAAGACTTCTCGTGATACTCGTCATACAGTACAGTTCTCTGTCATTTAACCATGATTGTGTTCCATAGAAGAGAATAAAGGGTGTTAAACGTGACGGGGGCAAAAAACTGTAAGAGGTTTTTTTGCACACATGTACAATATGGTGTATCTGATGGACAGGTGGTGTTGCTACCTGTGAGGATGATGTTGGGGATGTTGCCGTGGTTACTGTAGCCGAGCTGCTGCGAGTCCTGTAAGCTGCTCCCGGTGAGGCCCATCATGGCCGCCTGTGTGTAGTTGAGGGTGGAGCACTGGTTGTAAAGGCTGTTGGAGTTGATGGGGTTCTCGATCATGTTGAACTGCTCCAGCTTTAGCACAGAAAGATAAAGTCAGGTACAGAGGGGGGAACACTTTTCTGTCATTGTTGCTTTTTGTTGCTTTTGTCACCTGGTGAGAGAGGGCATTGGTCTGCCTTAATGTCAACTGCTGATCGTAGAAGGAGTCGCCAAATATACTGCCCACCATGGGAATGTGCTGGAGAAAGAGAAGTGAGTCCCACAAATCAGAACAAATGTCAGGAACGCAGCTACATATAAAAGTCTGTAATTAAATGAGCCAGAAGGCAAGTTATCTGGGCCCACAGGCAGACAGTTCAGCGATGGAAAAACACAAGCAAACACACAACAGTCAGTCTGAGCAGCGCCCGAAGAAGCAAATGGGTTTCATGACCAGGGCTGTCGTGGTTATGAGACAAAAGAGGAGGTTGATGAACCAATTTTAAAAAAGTGATTCTCCTAAACACCTAATAACTTTAAATGAAAAAAACATGAAATGGAAATATGAAAGTGTGGCTGTTTTCCCCATCGCTCAAGACAGGACACACAACAGTGCTGTTTTAACCGCAGCAGCCCTGTTCACTGTAACACAAACACAATCAACCTGTTAAAGGGAAGTTCTAGTATTTCTCCACCGAAGTGATATCCTGACATGTTTGTCCTTTACAACTATCGGTCAGCGTAGCACTTGGATCTCACTCTGGCTGTTTCACAAACGTGGCAACAGCAGCTTTCCAAACGAAGATGTATTTAAGAAACAGTTTTACCAAACTGCAAAGCGTATCTACAGAAGATGAACTTTCAGGCTGAAACAACTTCCTGCTTCATTGGATCACCTCTCTTTTCATTATTTTAGCATTTATTTCATCTTTTGACATCAGTCAAATTCGAACACAGTGTGTTATATATATATATATTAGGGCTGTCAAGTTAACGCGTTAATAACGCGTTAACGCAAAAAAAAAATTAACGCCACTAATTATTTTAACGCGATTAACGCATGTGTATTTTTTGTCCTCGGCCGCCGTAGTTTCAGAGCGCATCGAGTTTAAAATACCATCTACAAGCTGATGCTGACAGCCCCGCTCCTGCTGCCCGCTTGTGGCAGACCACACTTCCACGCTCACCGGCAGGCCCGGACTGGCCATCGGGAGGACCGGGAGGGTGTGTGTATGTGTGGCGCGAGCGAAGCACAACTTACGTGTTGTTGTTAGCATCTGGTGCTAGCTAGCTGAGCTAACGGATATAAGGAGCTGTTTCAATGAAAACAGAGGAGCGACATTTCGCCGACAACTGCGCCGAGCACTTGACTTTATGCAGGTAGCCAGACAGCACACTCAGCACGGATAGTGCGCGCAACACAGCTCATACACACAGGCATATATGCCTTGAGCTGCACATAGCACACACACACACACAACACACACACACACACACAAACACACACACACACACACACACACACACACACACACACACACACCACACACACACACACCACACACACACACACACACACACACACACACCACACACACACACACACACACACACACACACACACACCACACACACACACACACACACACACACACACACACCACACACACACACACACACACACACACACACACACACACACACACACACACACACACACACACACACACACAATTGTATGAGAGGTTCTAGGTTGAATTGAGGCGAATATTTGTAATGTTCAGAGGTTGTTGTGTTTAATATTCATGAGAATATTTGTCATTGTTCAAATGATAATAAACAAACATATAAAGCATAGTTGTCCACTCATATGTAGATAAGAGTATTAAAAACTTGAAAGATATCCCTCTAAGGTACATTTAGAACAGATAAAAAATGTGCGATTAATTTGCGATTAATCGCGATTAACTATGGACAATCATGCGATTAATCGCGATTAAATATTTTAATCGACTGACAGCCCTAATATATATATATATATATATATTTTGTCAAGTTGCAGTAGATCAAAAGTAAGACAGTCTTTCCTAAATCTCTACATTGTTGATGGTGGGAAAATATTAGTTTATTTAGGTAGTCAAGGTTGACAAAGTGTCAGATAGTCAAATACTGGAATTTCCCTTGGAAATGTTCTTGCAGTGAGGAAAGCACTAAAACTGAAACAAATCTGAACCGAAGGGCTTTACAACTTAATTCGATAGTAAAAGCCCCCCACAAAGAAATCCTTCCAGTCCACTGAAGAAGTCAATATGGAGGCAAACAGTGATTCAATTAAAAATATTTTAAAATCAGCTAGGCAAATGTTTTAAGGAGGGAAATAAATCCAACACAATCGATACATTAATACACACGCTGCGTTTTGTGGGAGTGAAATGGAATTCAATCATAACTTTTTTAGTTAACAAACAACCTCCCAAGGGTAACATTAATCAAATGATCTGCTATTCAACAATTACATTATATATTTTGGTTTTAAATTGCCATTGATAACTTCATTTTCAGCTTTTGACAGAGTAATTGCTTTACTTGATGTGGCCTTGCACCTTGAAAAGCACTAAACACAGAAAGTGTATTATTAAAACACATGCAAGCTGTCTTTGCCTTTCTGCCAAATGTTTTACTGAAGTCAGGATAAGCTCTGATGACTTTCCCCCAGTGGAGAGAGTGATATGTTTTGTTTGTGTGTATGTATATAACAGATGTAAACTGAATTTAGCTCTTTGCTCCGACTAGCAGCTCGGTGTTCTTGACTCACAATAGACCAACGGCTCATTTTACCATTAAAGGGAAGCATTGCCTTTCAACCAGCTCTGGATCGTTCCAATGAGGTTGGTTTGAGCCAATAAACAATGTTATTGTCTGGGGGGCTCTGGGCTCCAGTGACAAGCAGTGAAACCCGAACATCTCTCACTTGCACATTGCAATGGTAAAGTCCGGTTTAAATTCAGCAAATGTTCCCTTCAAGTCTGACTGCTGATAAAGGATCATAGTACGATTTAAAAAAAGTCAAGAACATTATTGTTGGTCTATTTCAGGGGTACTCAAACTTTTTTATTAAAGGTCCAGTTGTGAACTTTATACAAGGTCACTGGTCCGGATCAATGCCCCCCCCGAGCGGAGAAACGCAACTGAAATTAAGAAGCAGTTTCTTGGCGCTCTATGCATGGGGCCCCCTTGAGGGGGTTTCCCGACATGTCTTTGCAGTAAATTAAAGGGTGTTTCATGTTGTTGTTGCTGTGGACCTTCTTAATCTACCTTCTTTGGGGGCCCCCTTCTGGTCCAAGCACTTGCCTGCCTTGCCTGTCGGTAAACGGCGCCCCTGTATGCACACACACATTCAATACATACATACAGTATGTCAAGGTAAACTTGCGGTCTGCTATGTGTGTCACGCTCGCGCACACAAGTAAATATATATGCACGTTCATTCTCACAACGCGTCAGACACAAGACGCGCGTACATGATGATGTACATTAATTTATCAGAATCTTTTTTTCTTTTTAAATAATGGGACAGGGTTCGGTCCGGATTGATTTGCAGTTCGGTCCGGATCCGGACCTTGGTCCGGAGTTTGAGAAGCCCTGGTCTATTTGTTTATTCGTAAGGAGTAACAAAACGAGACAAAAAACCTGAGACCCATCATAACTGCAGCTCATCCTGAGAGAAGTGTCTAAATCCTGTGTGGTGCATAAAGGGGACGTCAGACTATTCATTTTTACTGAAGAGACCATGAAGGCACCATTGTGCAACTTTATGAAACCTAGCTCTACTGGTCAATAACAGCTAACTGCTAACTGCTAACGTTTACTAACTTGAAGTCTAACCACCACTATCGCCATGTTGTCATGCACACAGTGAGGAGTGACGGACAGGGGTGATGAAGAATGAGTTATGCAGCTGTTGACACCATGAGTGGTTACTGCAGGTGCAGAGGATGAAAAGCAGCCTAAACTCATCTACAGATAGCTTTCCCCCAGGCGCGAAGACCTTCCCCAAACAGCAGCTAGCTCGGTGGGTGGGCCCTTACTTGAGGCGAGCCGCCGGGGGAGAAGCCTTGATTGGAGACGGGGGAGGTTGGAGACTGAGTGGCTGGTGAGCCAGTCTGATTGCGGTACTGTTGGAGGGAAGAGGGTTAGCTAGCACTAAGCTTCATGCCTTTCACACACAAATCTCAAAGGACGGAATGTGAGAGGGCATCACGCATCGATCTGCTCCTTATGTACAGTGTGTTTGGGTAGGAAATGATACCAATCACCACCAGATCAATAGGGAAAACTCTTCGGCTGTTTCTGATGTGATTCTGGAAAATGTGATTGTGGAATCTGCTAGTCCTACTTTGGTTAAATGGTAAAGGTAAAGTGGTGTATTACTGTGTATCATAAGCTTATTTCATCTAATTTCACACTCAACCATCCAATAAAATAGGAAAATGATCCTACACAAAAGCTTACAAATTGCTAAATATTGAGAACATATAATCAGATTTAAAAGACATGAAGAAATCTTACTTCAAATGAACATAACACAAGTAATACAAAAAAGTTAAAAAGGCATACTTATCAGATGATGAGTTTATATACATTTCCCCTAGTAAGGATTACAAAATCAGTCTCAAAACCCAGTGACATAAAAATAATACTGATATTTCCTGGCATGTATTCTGTGTATCTTAATAACTTTCAGAACAATAAGGCGGCAAAATGATTAGAAGATTAAACAAAATGTCTTTATCTCTGCTTCCACCAAACGTCTTAGTTTCTTACCGAGCCGATGCTGATGCTGGCGGTGGTCTGACTCTGGCTGTCTGGGGAGGGGCTGCTGGAGGTGGTCCCGGGGGAGGCCAGGGGGGGCAGAGTGATGAGCTGGATGCCCTGCGACAGCGCCTGCTGCTGCTTCAGGAGGTCGTTCAGCAGCTGAGCCTGGGCCTGTGCCGTCAGCTGGTTGAACAGAGGGAGCTGGGAGAGCTGCTGCTCCAGGGTCAGCGACTCTGTGGACATGTTCTGAAGGAACACGCATAGACTCTGTTTAGGCTGGTCCCAAAAAATGTGACATAAGTATGTACGGAAGAGTATTTCAGTGCAATTCAGTTCCTCGTCCTCCGAGTGCCAGGCTTTCGTTAGTATACATTTTGACTGTTCTTCTACTAAAAAAACGTCAAACCATCCAATTCTAATGACCATAGGTAATAGTTTGGAGATGTTCTTGTGTCAAAACTGATTTTCTTTACTACTCTCTTTAGCAAGCGATGGGATAACAACAAAACCAGTTGAATGTTACAGTGTAGAGCAGCAAACTAAAACTACAGAGCTTAAGGACACATGTTTAAAATGAACATTTCACTCAAAAGTAAAACATACATATTGTTCCTCTTACCTGTGGTGCTCTTTATCAATCTACATTGTTTTGGTGTGAGTTTCCATGGAGATGTCTGCCTACTTTCAAATGTAATTGAAGTAGATGGCACGTTGCTCTCAAAGAGCCAACAAATACTTTAAAACTTCAAAGCCATGTCTATTTCCAGAAATCATGACCCAGTTACTCAAGATAATCTTCAGGCCTCGCTGTGAGCAGTCTCATGTAGGAACCATTTTCTTTCTTTTTTTCTTACAGATTCTACATTACATTGCATTTAGCTGACGCTTTTATCCAAAGCGACTTACAATAAGTGCATTCGACCAGGAAGATACAAACTTGAAGAAAACAGAATCATATAAGTACATCAGGTTTCATAGAGCCAAAACATTTCAAGTGCTACTCAACTGGCTTCAGATAAGCCAGTCTTTTATTAGAATATAAGTGTTTTGTTAGCAGTTCTTTGTTAGTAATTCTATCGCTCGAAGTGGAGTCGAAAGAGATGAGTTTTCAGTCTGCGCCGGAAGATGTGCAAGATTCTATTTGGTGAAAATCTCAAATCACAACAAAATGATTGATAGACAGCACTACAGGTCTGAGGAACATCATGTTTTTTTTTTTTTTTTTACTTCTGGGTAAAGTGTTCCCTCATAGTTCTCAGAGCAGATCCTTACCTGTGTGATGTTGACGGGTGAGGAGAGGGTGGGGGAGAGCTGCTGGGGGGACTGCTGGAGATGGAGTTCAGAGGTGAGGGTGAGCGGCACCACGGGGGGCTGCCGGCGCTGAGACGTTACAGTCATGGTGGGCTGAGGGGAGCTGGTAATGCCTGGGGAGGGACATAATAATAATAATAATAATAATCATCATAGAGAAGACAAAGGTTTCTTTGTTTCCCACTCAACTCAAACCAACTGAGTGCTGTAAAGTTAAAACACAAACCTTTATCGATCAATTTCATATTGCCTACTAATTGCTGTGAAATATTATAGGGCTGCGATATTATTTTCATTTTTAATTAATCTGGATATTTATGTGATTAATTGTTTATTGTATTAAATGTCAGACAATTGGGAAAATGTCCATTCCAGTCTTTATACAAGTCTTTCTTTTTTTTCAGTCCAAAACCCAAGGATATCAAGTCTAATATGATATAAGAATGGTAAAAGCATATTTGAGAGGCTGAAAAAAGCTAATTAATGAGTATCAACATGGTTGGAGATTTTATTTCTGTCTATCAATTCATACATTTTTCATTTTAATTGTTGCAGCGTCCAATACCTTCAACTCTTTTAAAAGATGAATTGTGTTGTTAAAAATTAAATCATGTTCTTTAACAGCAGGTTAACTTTGAGTGTTTTTCTAAAAGTAACTTTACCATGGCTGGCGGCGCTGATGCCCAGGTGGGTGAGGTTGGTGGTCAGGCATCCCGTGCTGGTGGAGGCGCTGAGGGAGGGGAAGGCCACGGTGTCCTCGGGGTCCAGCGGGGTGGACAGTGGGGGGGGGAACTGGATGTTGGTCAGGTCAGGCAGCGAGCCCCCGGTGTTGTGTGCAGCAGGGAGCAAGGACAGGTTCAACTCCTGGTCTGGTGATGGGAATATACTAAAAAGACAAGAAGTGCTGTCAGACAGGAGAAGAGCTGCTCTCATATTGAACTACTTTGGAAAAAGTTTTACATGATTAGCACCCTTTGGGTTTCTACAGGGATGGCTATCAAATTGTGTATTAGTTTCGTTTTTTCGACCCACACAGACAAGACAAGCTCTGGACCATTCAGATACTTATACCAGTGTCCACCACTCATTGCAAATAATCAAATCAAGAGTGTCAAGAGTACATATTAGTTTCATCCAACCTTACTGTTCTTCTGTGATTTGTATAGGGAGTAAATTCCATTCATACATAACTCAGGACATGACCATTGGTTTGATGTGCATCTCATGTAAAATTGTAAATTAGAAGGCCTATCTAAAATAAAAGATCATTTATTATGCAGGATAAAAGCAGTTTTTGTAAGAGAGATATTTCTGATGGAAAGATAATAAAACAATAGACCACTCACTTGATTCCTGGGACATCACATGTGTTTGATGAATCATCCTGAGGAGAGAACATAATAATGAGCCGTAAATCTGACGTGGTTCACATAAAAGGTGTCCATCTTGTTAGCCCTTCCCTTTCCCGTCAGTACCTTCTTGTCATCCCACAACTGTTCCTGCGCATCCTCGTTTGACTCAGAGTTCTCGGTCCCAGGCACAGTTAGCAGCAGTACTAATAAGGGAAACAGCAAGACAGAGGCTTTGCTTTGAAAAAAATGCATGACAATACAAATCAGGGCTAGAAATGAGTCATCAATATCTGAGCCAGTCAGGCAGAATAAAGCTGTGCACTATATTTCTGAGCGTCTAAAAATAGCAAGGTGAGCACCAGACAGACCGAGTGGATGCCAGCCAATCTTGGCTTCATTATACGAGAGCCTCACACATAAAAAGACATAATCCATGGATAATCAGTGAATTATTGATCCTCCCCTGTAGCTCACACTGAGTCAGCTCCATTCAGAGATGTTACTTCTCTGCAGAGTACTATAGCAGCTTGCTGAAGCACTTCTTTGACTTGGATCAGTATCCATTTACTCCATAAATATTTCATCAAGAGTCTAGATCTACTTCAACCCTTTTATGTCATTTAAAGTTTGCAGCCTGCATTAGTACACTGCACATTAATAAATGAATGCGGCTCTGTGTGTTTTGTAACTGGAGCCTCCATTACCTCGTTTAGGCTGCAGCTCCTGTGATCCCCCGGCAAACACCTCCTGGGGTTTGGGATTCATGGCGCTCTGGTGTAAGGCAGAGTCTGAATTTGTCCTGTATGTGTGAGAAAGATGAGACGTCAGCAAAATCCCAGCTAAATCCCCAACGCTGGCAGACAGCCAATTCTTCAGCTTCCCATCCAGGAAGACCCACATTCTGTTACAGACCTTAACTTGCCTTCAAACAGCTAAATGTGCCCTTTGTGTTGGGCTACTTTTAAAATGTTGTACAAACATGGATGCACAAAATCATGTGCTTTAACGTTCTAATTGAGCTGTGTTGTTGTGTATCTTAGTTCAAATGTGGGCACATGGACAAGGGGAGTTAGCTTACCTTCTCCAGCTAGTGTCTGGCGGTGGGGAGAGGTAAACTGAGCTGTAAGGACAGCTGTCGATGTGAATTTGGTTAAGGCGAATAAAGTAGAGGGGATGAAAAATGGATCGTAGCTAATCCACACTTTCATGTCTGCTGGCTGATTCAACCGGATACATAATAACTAACCACACTCACAAGTGTTGTAAGGATTCAATTACTTTGAAAAAGGCTTCAGTCAGTGTCTTGTTATCCAATATATGTCTAAGAAGACTCTTGTCAATGAGACTCTAACAAAACACAGTATCGCATTATATTGTCTCATGTTAGGCTCAAATGTGTGGAACAAGGCAGAGCTACATTCAATTATTTATTCTGTTCCTATCTGTCTCAGATGTTATTTGTTTTATTTATTTAAAAACACATTTGGGAAATGACTTGATTTAGTTTAACGTTGAGATTATGTGTGATGCTTTCCATTTATAGACTATGTTTTAACAGGTGAAAGTGTAAGTGTTTCCTGGAAAGCTTGGCGGTTTGTTACTGACTGAAGGTCAAGCATGTAAAGAACAGCCTGTATATCACTGTATGGAAACATAAATGAAAATCCACAGCTGTAGGAGCCTCTGATATCATTTAGATATAAACACAAAAGTTAGACTAACTACAAGTAAAGTCATATTTCTGGTTTTGAGCTTTTTCGGTACTAAGAAGATTATAGCACCACTAGACAAGGAGCAGTAAATTATATGAAACCTGTTCAAACCTTCCTAAAATATTATGTTCCTCTTAACATGCTGACTTAAATGACACAGTTAACTAGAGAGGAAAACTTTCGGTAGCCGACTTAGAAGCATCAAACAAAAATGAATGCTAGTAAAACAACACCAAAATGCTTCCAAGAACAAAAAAAGGATATTTGGCGTCCATGTTTGTCGACTGACAGCGGCCGGCGGTGAGGAGATGTGATGCGGTTGCGGTCACGGTAAACACGCTCCACCAGCCCGTGGTGCCTAGTAGTCCGACTGGTGTCCAGCACAGAGTTCTAGATTTGAACACAGCAGGTGAATGAGGCCAGCAAAACAGCTTTCTCGTAGGACAAAAACTATTTTAGGATAGATGTTTTAGGATAAATGTCTTAGGATTAATGGTGCAAATGTGTTCATTTCAAAAATGAGTCAAGCCATGGGCCCCCCATACTGATGCTCGAGTTGGCAAATGTATTTAAAGATGGAAAGCCATGACAAGCAATGATATACTTTAAAATTTAGGAACCAAATTACATTGCAGGGTAAAACTACACACTTCTTTGCACTCCTGGACCATGATAACAACCTGGTAGGACTATGCAGCCGTTCAAGACTCAGCTAAGCCTGCAGACTTCTCTGTTTTTGAGCCAAAACAACAGATAACTGCAACCTTTGTTTTAGTTCATTATCACCAACAGCTTAGCAAGGTACACTGATTGAGAACAAACCATTGATTTACCAGCCGAGAGAGGCTAAGGGCTCACCTGAAAAGGCAGGTCAATGTTGCCATTTCCAATCTGATTGACATTGGGCAGTGAGCCTCCATAGTACTGTCCACGATTCTGCCCTAGTTGCAAATACTGGGTCTTCTGTAACTGCAACTGTGCAAAGTAAAATTGCATGAAAGCATGAGTGAATGATTGATCTGATTTACAAATAAAGTGATGCTAAAAATGAATGACACCTGCCAGTGAATGACACTGGAGTGGTGAAATGGAAGATAGATTGACAGATGAAAAATGATGAGACAGGCAGATTGGCTTTTTCAAGAACAACCAAGAGGCAGACATCTTTCATAGCAAAACAAAAAACAGAATCACATCACCTGATGTGACTGACACCTGACTGACAGCTGGTGTGATTTCAGTCCTTCAATGTAACACACCTGGTGATAACATTAGCCATGTGTCTTAACACAAGACCAGTCACAAAAGTAATGCATGGTATTACAAAAACAGTGATGGAAGTGCTCTGTTACTTATAATGAAGTTGATAATGATCTGAACAAATACAATGGATTGATGTTGAGATGGCAACACAAAGAAATCTGGCAGAGACGATAAGCTGACTTTAATTTAGTTTTTTCCCTGCAATAAATGACAGTACAGCTCAGATATACACGGATGAAGGCGTGTGGTAAGTGGCCATCATTTCCTGCAATTGGGCCAATAATTAGCCAAAACACTTCCTGGCAACAAGATGTCACTCCTACTGTGGCTGAAACAATGTGTTTATTACTTGATTATCAGTTAATTAAATGTCAACAACTTTGATTATTGATCATTTTGGTAATTTCCCTGAAATAATACAATAATATTAAAGTGTCACCATAATGTTAAATAAGGTTTACATTACTTTCTGATTTTCACAGTAATCTAAGGCTTTCATTTAATTATTTTCACCATCAATTTATCAATTATGTATTCTATAAAAGGTCAGAGGGATGGTACAAAATGCAAACATATTAGCTTTATCATATACAGGGAATGGCAGCAAATCCTCGCAGGAACCCAAACATTTGGCATTATTGCATTTACACGTATATTATTCTATAAATACTTTATTTTCTAATTCATTTATTCCACATCAATGGCTGAACAAAATCAGTCATTTCCAAGTTACAACCTCAACGAATAAGGAAACTATTTACTGTTGACAGGAGAAAGTAGCTTCCCATATTGCTCCTCATCCTTCAAGAAAACTGAAATATGTTTTAATAGATTTTTTTGTTAACATAATTATACTTTTCTTGAATTAAAAAAGAAAAAAGGAACACCACATTTTCCTTAATAACGCTAAGTCTTCACAAAGATGTAATCAATAACACATACTGTTAAGCGATGGTTAACAGCAAGGAAACAAAATCACATCTGGAGAAGCTGGTTAAAACATCTGGCTGGCCAGCAAATGATAACTTAGACCTCTGAGTGATATTGCTTCATATGTTGTCTAGCAGCTGACTTTCCTAACATGTTGTTATACAATTATTTACATGTCGGTGATTTGTTTGCTAACGAAAAGGACACCAGTGACTAGTCAATCCAGCACAGGTGCACATTATTATTCACAGCTCCAGCACGCTAGCTAAGCTAACGCTGCACACGAATAGCTGGTTATATCGGAAAAACGCTGGCAGGATTTAAAGCTGAACAGGCACGGTGAAAGCATTATTTGATTGTGGTGAACTGACATTGATATTAGAGGATGTTAATGTCAACTTTAGCTACTTAGCATCCCAGCGTTCAGGTTTATCTCCGCAGCGCTCGACAGCTGCCAAACAGCGATGCAACAAAACATAAACAGCCGGGGTGTGCAGCTCTTACCCGAGCAGCTCTGGTGATGTTCAGCTCTTTCATCACTTCTTCAAACGCAGCAGTTTCCTCCGCCTGTTTCTGATTATGTAAAGCGATTTTTTCGCTAAATTTGCGAGGATTGTTAGAGGACGCCATCTTTCCCCTCTTCTTCTCAATGGAATGTTACGTTACGCACCACGCTAGGGCCTTCTGGTGTCGTCATCACGCACGGTCAGCGTAGTGTATTGATGTTCTTCGCCTTTTGCACCTGCTGTTGACTTGACAGTAGACAGCATGAGGATAAAGTGTATTGTGGATATAGTTCAAAACAAAGTAGGCCTATACATAGGCTACATTACAATTTAAAAAGTGGAAATGTGAAAAAAGGATGCTTTGAATAATACATCTGGAATTAAATTACAAGCAGTGTACACTGCAAAGGTGTATATTATATACTTTATTGAACACACAATAAAGAACATAGGCCTACAAGATATCGTCGAAAAAACATACATACAATACTGTATATTACCATATAAACAATATAAAATGTAATGAAAAAATAAATCCCATAAGAATTATAATCCTTAAATAGGTTTAGGTGTTCATAAAGCCACGCCTTTCCTGAGCAAATCATTGCAAATTCCCTAAAGTATCTTACTGTTTATAAAGCTTAGGCAAAGTAATGCATTTGCATTTTAGAAGTTAAGACGTGTATCGGACACACTTTTCAGATAATAAAATAGACGCAGGTTTCAATTAATAATAATTATTATTTATTCTATTTAGAGGTGCCTTTCAAAGCACCCAAGGACACCTTACAATTCATAAAATATTCGAAGGAAAGGTTTAAGACAGTATAAAAGGACGTGGGCTGTGTGTTTTAATAAACCGGTTCTTATTGACAGAGTTCTGAAGAAAAAATGGGTGGTCCATCACTATTAAGGCCCTGATTTACCTCAGGCATGTGGCTCTCACATCTCTTGTGATGAAAGCTATGGAGAGGGTCATCAAAAACCATTACATCCAGGCAACCAACTCAAAAAAATACCCACTCTGGTTTCCATATTGCGCAGGCAGAGGGGTTACTGTGTATATTGCATTATTATAATTTTATCACACTAAGATCAACAATCGCATATCATTATATTCATTATCTTAATGTGAATAGTTTTTTGTGCAGTAATATTAGCATTTCACATCGATATTATCTTACCATGAGGGTATTTTTCACACTAAGATCATCATTCCATATTTTTATCATGTGTATAGATCCATGCTTTTTTAATGAAGTAATATCTTATATTTCATAGTGTTGCTGTACTATTCTACGTGCCTCTTCAAATTGCCCCGAAGACAAAACAAGGGTCTCAATTGAGAGGTTTCACACTTTTCTCTGTTTAATATCTCTGTAAATTGAATATCTTTTAGTTTTAAACTGTTGGTTGGACACAAATAAAGTTAAGACATTTATAGAGAAATCAATATAGAAAATAGAAGTAAATAATCTGAAAATTACTCGTTAAAAAACATAAATGTTGGTTTATTTGTATGCGTTTAATCTTAAAAAGCTCCATACAATTTTTCTCAAATGTCTTTGGGGGTTTGTGGATATAAACATCTCAAACTTTCATACTGAAATGTATTGTGCCTTAGTTGAGTTGTTGTGAAAATAAGGACAGAAAAAGCACCTGGAAGTTATTTTTAAAACATGATACACCTTTAATAGGATGCACATAAAACCTCACAAATGTCTACATTCCCCTTCGACAAGAGTGGCTTCCTTTATATTGCACTTCAATAATATCATGTGCTTTTACTGGTACACATAAAACAAGACTAATACACACTAAGGCAACAGGAGAAACATTTATGGACATCATTGTGTAGATGATCACATTTAAAAAGAAGAACATGTCTTCCTTAAACACATAACGTATATTAATAAATTCAGCGGCAGAATCAGATGCCTGACAAATACTGAAAAGTGCAGCAATGCAGTAAAAATAAAAACCCAAGCCACCCGGTATCAAACACAGCAAAAAGATTGTTTAAATTATTTTTGAGAGTAGTTTTGATGTTAAATCTGTATAAATAAATGGCACTATATTGTGTAAGTCAAGGGACAAAACCATGTGTGGCACACAATATGCAACACTTGTTTAACATAAAGAGCAGCACACACTGACATTAAAAACACATGAATGATTAATGTAGCTGCCTTAAGAGGTCCAAACTGGCTTCTTATGTGACTGAGAGAACAACTACTGTCAGGTTTCAGCTCAGGATACTCAGGGTAGCTAAAGAAAAACAACATTAACACCACATTTAATATGAGATATCAACATAAAACACAAACACTACCCGTGTTCATTTGTGCAATCATTACTGTCCGTTGTGGTTTGTTGACAAGTACATTTGAGGAGACAAACAACACTGAGATTCGGTCAAAAAAGGATAATCTTAATTATCATTAACATTAACATTCAAAAACTATACAATCAAAATGTCTAACAATATAAGGTTCAGTCTGTTAATACCTTTGTAAACACACAATCTAACTTAAGACTTCCATTCAAAATGTTAGACAATTTGTGCTGTATGTAACTTTAGCCCTTCATTGGTAGAACTATAATACTGTTACAAATGGTCCTTTGAAAGCCTGTATCACAATCATAAGTGTATTAAGATCCTGACGTCTTTTACATAAAAGTAATTTCAAATCAAATTGTGCTCTAAAAGGTTTGTTTGATTGATTAAACACTTCTTGACCAAAACAAGGACACATGATAATATACCAAATGAGTAATGCTGCTTAGTAGCTTTTCGGGCCATTCCATTAAATGACTGAACAACACACAAACACACACCACCTGTTGCTCACATAATGTTCACTCCTTGCGTCAGTGGTCGGCAGTAAAGATCACATATAGTAAAGTCTTCACAGTCACAGGTCGGTTGGTTAGCGTTGTGTGGTGTTTTGTGGAATAATAATTGGTGTGCTAGCGATGCCAGCAAAGGATTCTGGGAAGTGCAAATCCCTCTCCCACTCGTCTGTCTCTGTGTTGTACACCTGCACGATGCTTGTGACATTGTTCAGGTGCCAGTTGTAGCCCCCGACGATGTAGATCTTCCTGTCCAGTAAGCAGCAGCCGGCCTCGGACTGTCCTGCTCTCATGGGGCTGACGGTGGTCCACTGGTCGCTCTCTGGAATGTAATACTCCACCGCAAGCACGTCAAAACAACGGTCCACGTGATCCATGCGGCCGCCCAGAGCATAAACCCGATCCCTGGTGCTGATCATGGCATGCAACACTCTGGGTTCAATCATGGGGGCCCTGAAGTCCCACTGGTCTGAGGCTGGGTTGTAGCAGTGAAGAGTTTTCTTATCCTCCAACGACACGCCATAACCCCCCGAGATGTACAGCCTCTCCCCGCAGGGAGTCCCTGCATGACCCCAAATCCTGCGCCTCAATGGTTCCACATTAGTCCACTCGTTCTTCTTTGGGCAGTAACACTCTACAGATGACAGACTGCCAGATCGATTGCGCCCTCCGGTGGCATACAGCTGTCCACGCAGCACGTTTAGCTGAAACTGGATACGAGCCTCATGCAAAGGTTGGATGCGCAGCCACTGGTTGAGGTGCGGGTCGTAGCGGAAACAGCTGTCTACCGCCCCCTCGCCGCTTCGGTACTGTAAGTGCTGTCCACCAACGACGTACACAAAGTTATCAAGTACGGCAACACAGGCGTGGCTGCACCCTGTGTCCATCTCTGTCAGCTCTTTGAATTGACGAGAAGCCATGTCAGGGAGATGGTACACCTTGTTGCTCACCGTGCGGTCGTTGTCAGTGTACGGCGTCCCTCCAAAGGTGATGACTGACAAGACTTCAGAACGTATGCGTGTCCGCGAAGACTGCATCTCATGCTGTCTGAAGGGAAGAATCTGGTAGTTGAAGGCCTCGAGGAGATACTGGCGGCAAAGCACGTCCTCCACCATGATGTCCACCGTCTGAACGTTGTCCACCAGCTCAGATGAGCGCATGAGGGGAAAGCGCACGTGGCAGAGGACGCTGCTGGCTTGAGCCCGGCGAGACTCGTCATACTGGACCCACCTGATGGCGGCGTGGAAGAGGTCGATCTCGCTACAGTTCTTCAGTTTGTTGCTCTGCAGGAAGAAGACTAGGCGCTCCATGGGAATGTGCAGGAAGTCCTCCTCCTCCGCAATCTGAAGGAAGTGGCGGAAGGTGAAGGCATCCACCGACTCTTTGAGGGAAGACAGGCTGAAGGTGGTGGCCATCTGGCCGATGTGAAGGCAGGTCTCCACGCTCATCGCTGATTTGAGGAACTCTTCGCAGAGCTCCACGACTGGAACCATCTGAAGGAAAACGGCTGCCCCGAGGACATCTTGAATACAGTCCAGGTCTAAAGTGACTTCTGAACTGTAGGCAAAGTCAATGATATGTTTCAGTCCGCGGGCGGACAGGCCCTTCAGCTCAATGGTATCTTGATTTGCCTCCCTCATGCCTCCAGTAAACATTGCTCTGTAACAAAAGAACAAGTCAATGAGCTAGATCACATTTTTACAAATCTATGTCTTCTAAATTCAAGATTTGAATTTTGTATGACATTCCAAGATTTAGTTAGAGCACTTGTATGACATGAAATGTCATCCTCAGAAAATGGGAAAAAGAAGAGCTAGAACAGTATAAATTCAGAAAAAATACATAACTTTACTGTAATGCAGCTTTAAACCAGTAAAAAAGAAACACTCACGCTTCACCATATCCTCACAATGTATCTGGTCTCATATCACAACATCTATACTATAACATTCATATATGATCACGCCCTAGTTCAGATTAAAGATCAAATGAAAGAAAACAAGTGAGCGCATCCTTTAGTGCTTGTTGTGAATTTCACATTTTTCCACTCTTTACCTTCTTCCCCGAACTGAATTGCTCTTAATGTCCTATTTTATCTGCAGATTGCAGCTCACTCAGAGCACTCTGGATAAGAGCATCAGCTAAGTGCTTCCAAATAAAAAATGTAAATGGACAGTGAGAAGTCTTGTGATTCATACTAACCTGAAGTAATCACTACAGGAGGCCAGCACAGCTTTGTGGACCTGGAAGCGCTCCTCATTGATGGCCAGCACAACGTCAAGTAGTTGGCCCCGGGAGCGCAAGACGGACAAGCCCTGGAGGAGGCTGGCACTGTGGCTCGGTGCAGAGAATGTACAGCGCAGGGTGCTATTCTTGTTAGCCATACTGGAAAGAAAAAAATGGTACTGTCACAATGAATAGATAAAGGGATCCTATAAAACCCTCCTATAGTTTTAACTTGAACTTGTGGACACTTTCTTCATTTTTCACTATAAGGATAGAGCTAGATGCTCTGATCTTCTGGTTGAGCAGGCTGTATAGCTCAAGAAAATATAAATATGATCCGTATGATGATATCTAATGTCTGGTGTTAATTCAAGGTGTAGCTGCACACAGCAATACAGTGATGGACATTTTATCTAATATGCCACAGTCGGCCAAGAGGAAATGCAATCTGTGGTGTACAGTGTCTTTGCATTAGTGAGAGCAAATCTGCACACAGGAGAGAAACAACATTACTATCAATAGAAATGTCATGTCTAGACTATCCGCTGTTGCTGCACAGAAAATGTAAACCATCAGTAAGAAGCATGATCACGGTGTTGGAAACACCGTGATCATGCATACAGGTAAGCAATAACAAAGGTCAGTGTGCGGTAGAAAATCTAACTTGTTTGTTTACATCACTGGGGACAGACATGTCAAAAGATACAAATATATTTGAAGACTAAAAAGGTACAAACTTTACCTGAGATTTAAGCTTACTGGCATAATTTCAAATATGAAACATTTGAACAAACACCACATGTAGAAAAACTATATCAGATATTTGTACTGACAGCTAATATTATTTGGCACTTTCCTAATGTACATGCTTTGTTAAATGATTACCAAAATTGCATCCAATCAAATAAAAGGCAGATTACAAATGACAGAAATCCATCTGCTTAAAGGTGGGGTAGGTAATTTTGGAGAAACCAGCTCGAGTGCGCTAGAATTTGAAAATACACAGCCGGAAAAAATCTCTCACTTCCTTACAGAGCCCCTCCTCCAACACACACGAACGCGCACATGACCAATGAGGGCACGAGATAAGTTTGTGCACAGATGGAAGGCTGACAGGCAGGTAGGCCATCCAGTTATTTTAGCCGGGCCGGCTAAAATGATTGGTCGTGCTTTTTACAGTACTACGGCTTCCACAGATGACATTTTTTTATGGATTTTTTGTCAAAGCACTTAAAGGGCCCATGTCATGGCCATTTCCACTGATCATAATTACATTGTTGAGGTATACTAAAATAGATTTATACTGTGCAATTTTCCAAACTCACATTGGTTTCGCATACAGCATCTCTGTCAAGCATGTGTATTCAGCAGTATTCACTTTCTCCACTAAACGACTCGTTGGAGCTCTTGCCCCCCCCTCCCTGTGAGCCTAGTGTGCTCCGATTGGTCAGCTCGGCCACTCGTTCTGATTAGTCAACCACCAGAGAGGCTGCGCCCATGTCTAACAGTGCTTTTCCCGGCTGCTCTCAGCGTAACATCAGTCTTATCATGGCGTCGGTACAGCCGTATATTTTATATACATATATATTTTTAACTGTTGTTATAGAAGAGTGCGACGGCCCCAGGGCCTTTGTCTTACGATGGGGTGGAGCTGAAGAGGCTAATCAGCACGATCACGGACACCTCCGGACACGACGGCCCCAGTCTCTCTCCAAAGCGGCTGCAGGAAGACTAACTCTACGATCCTCTCAACCACCTATCTCTGCATTTACCACAATAAATGTGCCGTGGTTTTGTAAACTCGTGTATGTCTCCTTGTCTTTCCGTTGTGGCTCATAACAAAGAGTAAGTTATTTTTACCCGTTATAAACTACTACTGTTTGATGAGAAATCAAATCATGGTTTGCTATATATGAATTCAGGGAAGAAAGGATAGGCCTACTAAGTATTTCCATTAAACTTTATTTTTAGAAATGTACAAAATGAACATAAATATCCATATATACACACGGTATATCATCCATTCCTCCTCCTCGCATCTTGCCTGCGCACAGTCGGTGCGGTGCCTTTTAGCACGAGGCCTCAGTAGTAGTAGAAGTCATGGATTGTCCGCCAGGATCTGGCTGGACGAAATCAAATGCAAATCACAAAATATTAGAGAAACTTAGTTGTTTTAGATTCGTTAGTAGTAGTTGTGTAATGAACAGCTTGCCTGCTAATATGCTAACCTAGCTTTGTTTACCTTGGTAGCTAACACGATATGAACGTTAGCTTGGAGGAAAGGCAACTATAATGCAGTGTAATAAAACTACTATGGACAAAAGCTAGTGGTTCATATTAGGCTAGCAATAACGTGTTTATAATTGCAATCGTATACGGGTATTCTGCTACCATACAATGTAACTTGCATGAATACATTGTTTTGCGCTAGCATACAGCTAGCCTCGTTAGCTACATGCAGTATATGTACGGTCACAATGTACGGTAAATCACCCGGAGTATACTGTATGAGTATTCCGTGTGTGTGACTGCAGACATTCTCCTGCCATGACAAACATGTAAGGCCATCTGCTGACATTGTAGTTGATATATTTAAACGCTAGCAACGTAGCATCACAAAAATGTTTTTCCGACCAAAACTAGCTCTAGCTCCGTGTGTTAGATCGGTTGCATACACGCTACGCCAGCTATAATGTAATTACGTTTCGCGACTGACCGCACGGCAAATCACCCGGAGTATACTGTCAATAGGTATTTTGTGTGTGAATGCAGACATTCTCCTGCTATGAGATACATGTATGCAAGGCCATCTGCTGATATTAGAGTTGATATATGGAAACTCTAGCAACTTAGTTAGCACAGTTAGCACTGTGTCAATGGCTTAGCAGTCCAACACAGTTTACACATTTAAACAGTCTTGTTTGATAAATACACAAATAACAATGCAAACTTACAGGTTGTATACCCAGATCTTCCCCTGCTCCAAACGGTCCAAACAAGCTGTGCATATCCGGCCTCAAACTGGGCAATGTTTTGGAAGCTTTCGTCTGTGAAATGCCGGTTCTTCGAACCTCTGGAGGAGGAACACGCCGCTGCTGGTGTGGCCATAGCTCTTCGGGATTGGTCCATTTCGTTCCGGGTACCGCATGACATCAGGCGGTACCCGGAAGAATCAAATGGGCAGTGACGTATCTCCAACGAGGCGTTTTGGGGAGGTATTTTCTGTGATAGAGTTTTACTCGCTACAGGGTGTATTTTGAGGGTTTTGACTCTGCACACCGTTTACATGCATAAAAACCTTCATAACACACAAGGGGACGGGTAATAACCGGAAAAGCATGACATGGGAGCTTTAAGATATTCATTGCTATCGGGATGTTAAGAGCATTCCATGGAATATAACAAAAAGTGTATCTCGAGCCGGTTTCTCAAACTTACCTACCCCACCTTTAACACATCCCATTGTTAGAATCCTTCACTTTTGTATTCCGATTAGAATATAATACCGAGCAGAAATCAGGTCATGAAATATTTAATGAAAATAAAGCTCTGGAACATTTAGGCTTGTATACATGGCTGAAACAATACAATATTAAAAACACACATTTTCATTGTTCTGGATGAAGACAGATGATTACTTACAAAATGACTTTCTTGCCCCTCATATTTTTTTATTATTATTATATGATATCAAAACAATATATCTGAACAAATCAAATCAGTATTGTCATTACATGAGGAATATGCCCAAATATAAGATTACAATTTTCACATTAGGGCTAAAACAACAGTTTGTCTATAAAGCCCTACAAGTGTGAAGTATTCCACTTTTTTCATTTTTTGTGTACGGGAGTCATTTTGAAAACACTGGTGTTACTAAACCATAATTTATCAAAGTATTCACACCTGTGAGTTTTCCCACAGTGAGGTGTCAACATGAGAAAACGGCCAAATAATTTATACAAAAATGTACAGTTTTCACAACCCATGTTGAACTATCAGCCTTTATTGAAACCAATAGACATGACTGACATCAGTCAGTGTGTTTTATGAGATTATATTCAAAACAGAATGAAAACAAGTAAACACACTTTCACTTTTACCATTTATGTTCACAATTTGCAACTTTATTTGGCCGAGTTTCCAGTGAAAGCTTTTTAGTGTTGCTACGCCAAACTTTTTTTGTAAGTTTGCTGTATATTTAACGCAATTTTACCATAACAGTGACACTATAATGAATTGTGCCTTGATCTTTTCTTCTTTTTAGGTAATATTGTTCCCGTTACAGTCATGCAAATAAAGCATAGGCCTACTAAATTAAAATGTACATTAATAAGGGTGGCGTTATTAACATTTCAAAGTATTGAAAGTAGTAAAAGAGGAATGCTTTACCAAACGTCAACAGTGTGTTGAAGTTAATCTGCTACAAACAGCAGGCTCACTTCGGTGTGTTTACTCCACTGAATGGGAATGGTCACACCCTTACTTTATTTCCACTGCTGGCCACCCCCATAGCAGTCAGTGTGGACGCCTGGAGGCCAGCACAGCTCCTCGGTGTTTCCCGGAGTCAAGCCGTGACGCCGACACGCTTCAGCGGGTCTCGATAGGGCTGCAGCCATGGAGCCGTGGAGGCTTCGCACAAAGTAACACCGAGGGACCAAAACAGCACCGCGGACACAGCACATCCTCACCCGGCTTCACTCACCTGCTCTGTGGGTGTTTCGAAGCACAGTCCCCGCCATCCGACTCCGCCATCTTCTAGCACTAAGCAACACGCATGGAGCATTTTCAGTAATGTTACCAGAAGGTCAAAGGCACGAATGGCCTGTTCATGCCGTTTACAAAAGTATAAACACAGCCAGTTATGCAGGCACGGGGGGAAACAGCATTGTCTCCGGTGGGAACACGGTGCTGACCTCTCCTACCGGCGGTCTGCTGCACCTCCTTCCTCTGTACCGACAGCCTCTTGCCGCTGGGAGGCTCCACTGTCACATATGCGGTCATATATCTACAGGTGTACTGGTTCCCATGTGGCTTTACCACCCCCCACCCACTGGGGAAAGAGGTATTCAGATCATTTACTATAAAAACAGTCATAACACAGGGTTGCCAACTTTGGGTACCTGGCTGGAGTGAGATTTTGATATCATGGGTTTAATTCGGTTTAATTACACATATGCGCACAAAATGACTGCTATCGTGTCAGCAGCGGGACCTTAGCATATATATAGGATATATATACAATATATACAAATACACAATAATGGACACAGACTATAAAGGGCACAAAGTTTCATTCACTAATGAAAGTCAAACATGTTTGTTTCCACTGTTTTATTGTGTGCCTGTCGCGATAAGCAATTAATTGACTTATCGTACGATAAATAAAAATGAACTCGATAACTTTTCTGACCTCGATAAATTGCCATTTACATGAGGATGTGACTAGCAGTTTGAAAGGATGTACTTGAATTATTATTATATATTATCATTATGTCAGTGGTCTAAAATGGTCATACAACGGTGCCGACAATATTATCGTTTATCGCAATAATTTCCGGGAAAATGTATCCAACAAAATTAATTATCGTGAGAGGCCTATACATGAAACACACACACACAAACAAATCTACAGACTTACTCCAAACTGCCAAATATATTAATTAACACACTCTCACTCTCATATACTCTTTGACTCTATTTTGGCCTAGTAGAACAATAAGCAGCAGACTTTTTTAAATACTAACATAAAATACACATTCTGGTACTCTCTTGAGAAGAAAAATAAATAAATCTATTACTACACATTTAAAAAAATGAATGCCATATTAGTTTTTTGTTACTTTGTTCTGAAAGCTGAACCTGCTGCAGCAGTGCTGCTCCTCACAGAGAGAAGAGGGAAGAGGCTGTGTGAATTACTTTACATTGTGGATAAGGGTGGATAGCCCCCATTGTTCTGTGTGTCAAAATGAAAGACAGCCCACACACCTATCAACCATCAAACCGTGGGGTCTTATTTCATTACGTGTTGATTTCTATCAACACGTAATGTTGTATCGATGTATAGAGTGGCGAAGTCCCTCCCCTTCTGGTGGACCTCCATGGGACCTTATTTCGGAAAAATTATGTATTGAAGTCAATGGAGAGAGAAAGATTATCTTTCGATCCCGTTTGAATTGTGCCACGAATTACACATATGATGTTTGTCAATTTAAAAGATAATTTTGCAAGTCAAAAAAAAAAAAATGTGTCGTAAAACTGTGAAGTAACACATTTGTTTGTGTGAAACGCTCAATGAACTACATCTCTGGTCAACAACACACGTCACCAAGATGGCCGTCACTACTGTCTTGTCAACAAAACGATTGACTACCCTCACTATCACCACAATGAAACACGTCCTGAAGAATGTCATGCAAAGCTGCCTGCCTGCCTTCCTTTGATTCTCTCTGAACTGCCTGGTCGTTTTAATGTTTAATGTCAACCATTTGTGCAGATAGCATGAAGTAGAAAAGATCGCTAGCGTTAGCGTTAGCATTTCTCCCCCGGGCTTAAATTGTGTATTATAGAATGACCACACCGGTGACAGTACTCTTCAAAGGGTTCACGAAATATGACTACTACTCTTACTGTTTAACATTTTGGGTTACTTAATGTTACTTCATGTTAAGGCTAATACAAATGACAAGGTTGTAATGCTAACTAACGTGCTAGCTACTAGCTAGGTAGCTAACTTGATCAAGCCACTCCTGGTCCTTTCATCAGACGGGAAGCAAAAGAACGAGCAAGACCCATTGCTGGTATGATAACAACCTGGTACTAAGCACACAGGCATCTTGTTAAAGTTATCTTATCTTAGCCAGCGCCATATAGATAGATTATATCTATATGGCGTTATCTTATCTTAGCTATCTCTATTTTAGTGGAGGAAAACAATTGTGACATCACTTACGCGACTCTGGGATTTGTAGTCTTTCTAGTTGCGTATTTTTCATAGTCTTATATTTCAACAGTTTTACGACAAACTGTGACTTTTTTGACATGGAAATGATTTTTTAAGATTGACAAACATCATATGTGTAATTCATGGCACAATTCAAATGGGATCGAAAGATACGTTTTCTCTCTCCATTGACTTCAATACATTATTTTTCCGAAATAAGGTCCCATGGGGCGGAAGTAGATGGGCGTGACTTCGCCACTCTATAGAGAGAGAACACTTATGCATCTTTGCACCACATTGACATGATAAGCTGCAACAATCACATTTAAATTAAATAAGTGGAGGTGGAGTGTGACTGTGTGTACGTACCATTTGACGATTGACCAGACGATGTGGACCCCATCTGCAAAGCAAAACAAGTTGATCTTACAAACACTTCCTAACATGTAAACAACGCTCTGTATGAACGTGTGAAGCAGAGTGTTAGCCCACCTTGGGGGAGCGTGTCTGGGGTAAGTTGACGGAGTGTTTCAGCCTTTTGACGGCCTCAGTGATGGCCTGGGTCTCCGTCTCGTCCAGAGCACAGCACAGGTTCTTCAGAGTCTGCACCACCCGCTCCACCGTCTTATACTGGGTGCTCTGAATATAGAGATACACGTTGGTCAGAGGTAGGAAGTAGCGGAGTACAAATACCTCGTTACTGTACTTAATTACATTCCACTACTTATTTTTCTGATCACTTTTTACTTCTACTTCTTACATTTTGAACACAAATACCTGTACTTTCTACTTCTTACATTTTGAACACAAATACCTGTACTTTCTACTTCTTACATTTTCCAAACAGGCTGGTTACTTTAGTTTGAATGTGTGTTTGGTGGCGTGATCATTATTATTTAGAGTCATTGCGTGCCTATTGATTTGAACACGATCCGTGTATCCATCATTTCCTGGTCTTCTCTAAAGAAGAGGGACCAATGAAAACGTTGTCATGTTGCCGTTGTTCAGCATGGAAACATTCATTAGCTAACAATGACATTATTGTTCTATTAATATAAAGGGAGGTCAGGTACTCTTTAAAACAGCTGGTAGTTATGGGTACTTTTTACTTAAGTACATTTCAAAGCCCTCTTTACTTTTACTTAAGAAGTTTTACCAGAGTATTTCAAACACGAGTATCTGTACTTCTACTTGAGTAAAGGATGGAGGTGTGTGGCGCAGTGGATAACTGCATTGGTGTTCGGATCAGGGGAGCACAGGTTCAAACCCCACTGCAGTCAGCATGTCGTTGTGTCCCTGAGACACTTCACCCCAAAGTGCTCCTGTGGGGATTGCCCACAGTATTGAGTATGTAAGCTTTGGATAAAAGCGTCTAACAAGTGACATGTAATGATTCAAAAAGCTTTTGAATATTGAATAACAAACCAATGTGGTTTACTTGTTATCCACATTTTAGCTGCTAAATGTTTTTTAGCAATGCTTTTCTTTGTGCTCCACATATCTAAATGTATAAAGTGTGTTTTCACCTCCGTTCCCTCCTGTTTGCTGCAGTATGGCAGCAGCGGTCAGGATGGACCGGGCACAGGGTGTGGAGCTGCCTACTCTCAGCGGGGGGGAACTGAACGTGGAAACTGTGTTTCTCTGAGGGATCCTCCATGTAGTCTGAGAAGCCTTCTGAGGAAACAAGGTCAAACTATTTAGGATAATACAAGGAACAATGTTTAGGCAGTAAATAGAATTTCAATTACATTTCTACTTAAATGTGCAAAAATATTAGAACATCAGTCTTTGTGGCATGCAGGTAATCAACTGTTTAAGCTTTTACCATTAACATGTAGAATGAATGTTGCAAATTACTTGAAATTAGAGCAACTACAATCTATTGTTTACCTCAGTGTAGCCACAGAGGTCCAGCTAGCATGCTAATTGCTAACGTTATATTATCGTTTTATCCCAGAGGGGAAAACTAGTTTCTAATCCTGAGAGAAACACCTCGCCTGAAACACACGATTAGTGCCATGAGTTAGTGAAGCAAATTACAGAACATTGCACACTTATTCACAAGTCAAAACGTGTTCATAGCGGGCATGGATGAGAATAGCTAGCTAGCTAGATGTTATTAGCCAGTATGTATAAGAGGAAACGTGAGGTGGAGAAGAAGGAAAGGGGGGAAGGAGAAAGCGGGCCTGGTTTGGTCCGGCCTGCTTAAACCGTGCTACGTGCTGCAGTGGAAAAGCGCCATAAGTGTGTTGCTGAACTTAGAGGAAAAATGCAGAAAAGTTAAATTAATTAAAATTATAATTGTTAAAGCTCAAATGCATTGCACTGACTTTGTTGGAAAACTTGAAAGTGAAATGTAAATCTGCATTAGCACTAATTATAGAAAAAAGACAAGTCACTCCAACTTAGCTGAAGTCACAAAGACTAAAATTAGATTTTCCATGTCGCGCAAAAACAAATCCGTCCAAATAACACGTGTCAGTTCATGTGACTTGATTACATTCCTTTCCAATTAGCCAGTTAGCAAACAACACCAAACAAACTCCAAATCAGGGACATGTTGCCATAGGCGGATTTTGCGGGGGGTCAGGGGGGCATTGCCCCCCCTAGTGGCTGAAATATGTTACAGCATTACTATGTCGAAAACTGTTCCAATACAAATATTTCGTATATCAATATTTTAATAAGGTAGGACCAGAGATGGGGTCGTTACTAAAAAAAAGTAATATATTGCATATTACATATTACTTTAAAAAAAAGTAATATATTACACTACTTCGTTACTCTCTAAATAAAGTAACTCGTTACTTTACTCGTTACTTTACTCGTTACTTTACTCGTTACTTTACTCGTTACTTTACTCGCAGGGCCGGCCCGCCCCTCCCTACAGGCAGATCACGCAGACTGCTAAAGTTTCAAATGTTCTCTTTAGTTCAGTTTCCATTGTCGCATAAGACTGATCCAGATAGCTCTGACTATGGCTGTCCTCTGTCTCCTGCTATCTGTATT